AGAGAAAGAATGAGAGAGAGTGAGACAGCATGAGTGGGGGAGGATCAGAGGGAGAATCAGACTCCCCACTAAGCAGGGAGCCTCATGAGGGAATCGATCCTGGGACTCCAGGATCATGACATGAGCTGAAGGCAGCTGCTTAACCAACTGAGCCACCCAGGTGCCCAGACAAAATACATTTTAAAACAATGACTGTAATAATACACAAAAAAGATACGTTACATAATAAGAAGGGTCAACAAAGTAGTAGATACAACCTTTGTAAATATTTATGCACCCAACATAGGAGCACCTAAATATATAAAGCAAATATTAACAGACCTAAAAGGAGAAATACAATAGTATTTATATAATTATTATAATTTACGATATATGGGGACTCTAATACCCCAATTAGTTCAATGAACAAATTATCCACAGAAAAACTAAGAAGAAAACATTGGTCTTAAACGACATATTAGACCAGATGGACTTAACAGATATTTACAGAACATTCCATACAAAAACAACAAATACACATTTTTCTTAAGTGCACATGGAACATTTTCCAAGACAGATCATATGTTAGGCCATAAAACAAGTCTTAATATATTTAAGACTGAAATAACATCAAGCATCTTTTCTGACTATAATGGTATGAAATCAGAAATTACACAAAGAACAATGAAAAATTAGCAAGTATGTAGAAATTCAACAACATGCTACTGAACAATCAATGGGTTAAAGGATAAATCAAAAGAGAAATAAAGGATATATCTAGAGACAAACAAAAATGGTAATGTAACATATCAAAATTTATGGGATATAGCAAAAGCATCAAACATGGTTAAGTTCTAACAGTGAAGGTCATAGTGATAAATGCCTATCATCTCCGGAAACAAAGTAATTTTACACCACACAGAACTAGGAGAAAAAAGGAATAAATGAAGCCCAAAGTTAGTAGAAGTAAGGAAATAAAATTTAGAGCAGAAATAAGTGAAATAGACTAAAATGGCAATAGGAAAAAATACTGATGAGACTAAGAGCTGTTTTTTTGAAAAGATAAAATTGACAAACCTTTAGCTACTAGAATGACCAAGAAAAAAGGACTCAAAAATCAGAAATGAAAGAGGTTATGACTAATACCACAGAAATACAAAGGATCATAACAGAATGCTATGAGAAATTATATGCTAACAAACTGAACAACTGAGAAGAAAGGAATAAATTCCTAGAAATATACAACTTACCAAGATTAGATCACAGAGAAATAGAAAACCTGAAAGACCAATTACTAGTAAGGAGATTGAATTAATAACTGAAAACCACCGAACAAACAAAAGTCTAGGACCATATGGCTTCCCTGGTGAATTCTACCAGCATTCAAGGAAGAATTAATACTGATTCTTCTCAAATTCATCCAGAAAAGAGGAGACTTCCAAAATAATTTTACAAGGCCAGCACTACCCTGATACCAAAACCAGACAAGGATGCCACAAAAAAGAAAAACTACAGGCCAATATCTCTGATGAACATAGATGCAAAAATCCTCAAAAGAATGTTAGCGAACTGAGTTCAACAATACATTAATGAAAGGATCATATACCATGACTGAGTGGAATTTATTCCAGGGATGGAAGCATGGTTCAGCATCCACAAATGAATCAATGTGGTATACCACATTAATAAAATGAAGGATGAAAATCATGATCATCTCAACAGATGCAGAAAAAGTAAATGACAAAATTCAACATCCATTTACGATAAAAACTCTCAGTGAAGTGGGTATAGAGGGAACATACAAGACAAGGATGTCCACTCTTCACCACTTTTTTTTTTTTTTTAAAGATTTTATTTATTTGACAGAGAGAGACACAGCGAGAGAGGAACACAAGCAGGGGGAGTGGGAGAGGGAGAAGCAGGCTTCCCGCCGAGCAGGGAGCCCGATGCGGGGCCCGATCCCAGGACCCTGGGATCATGACCTGAGCCGAAGGCAGACGCCCAACGACTGAGCCACCCAGGCGCCCCAACTCTTCACCACTTTTATTCAACAAAGTATTGAAAGTCCTAGCCAGAACAATTAGGCAAGAAAAAGAAATAAAAGGCATCCAAACTGGAAAGGAAGAAGTAAAACTGTCACTAGTTGCAGATGAGATATTATACACAAAAAATCCGAAAGACTCCATCAAAAAACTGTTAGAATAAATAAATCCAATAAAGTGGCAGAGTACAAAATCAATACACAAAAATCTGTTGTATATTTTACACTAATAATTATCAGAAAGAGAAATTATGAAAACATTCCCATTTATAAGTGCATCAAAAAGAAGAACACCTAGGAATATACTTAGCCAAGGAAGTGAAAGATTTATATATCAAAAACCATAAGACATTAATGAAAGATATTGAAAACTCACAAATAAATAGAAAGATATTCCATGTTCATGGACTGGAAGAATACTGTTAAAAGGTCCATACTATTTCAAAGCAACCTACAGATTCAATGCAATCCTTATCAATGGCATTTTTCATAGAACTAGAAGAAATAATTCTAAAATTTATATGAAACCAGGAAAGACTTTGAATACCAAAGCAAATAGTGACACAATAAGTTAATAATTACCACAAAGTTAAAAATCAGTTTGAAAAACATATTATTTAACACTTCAAATTACATGCTAATTAAAATTGTTTAAAGATCCTAAAAAATGTTGCATGCTAGACAGAACAAAAAAACATGTCCCAGTGATTTCAATTCTAACTCCAATTACTTCCTGTATGTCAGTACTCCTCTTCCCACATCATAGTTATCTCTCTTAATTCTAATCCTTCTTCCACATCACTGCTTTGCAACTGAAATATGCTAAAACGTCCTTTAACATAGACCTTGTGTTTTATTTGGGAAACGCCAAACTATAAGTTTTTAAAGAAAAAAAAATGTAAATACAAATGTAAACATTTACAAGATAAACAAAAATAAGAATTGGAAGACATTTTGGGAATTAATTATTTTATCTCTTGCATTTTATGGGTAAGGCAATTGAGGGCCAGAGAAGTAAAGTTTTTCATTATGCAGCTGGGACTAGAACCTAATTATGTGGCTTCTTAAAGTATAGATCAACTAAAAGCCCTAAAAAAATTTTTTTTTAAATGTAGACTTATTTTCAAGCATTTGAAATAGAAAGGAAAGACAGTATTACTGGAATGATGTATTGGAAGCAACAACAATGAAATGACAAGCCTTCAAAATATAAAGAGCTCAACAGCTCAATGCTTAACAGTAATGTTGGACAAGATATAATATCTCTTCCAATTACGATACTGACATATTTTCAGTGATGAAAGCTGTAGGAGGTAGAGATAAATGTTGATTACAATCTTAAATTAGATCAGGAACAAGGTTTAATGTCACACATACAAAAATCATAATACTTTTTATTTTTTATTTTTTTAAAGATTTTATTTATTTATTTGAGAGAGAGAGCAAGCGAGCAAGGGCACAGAGGGAGAGTGAGAGCAAGAAGCAGACTCGCCGCTGAGCAGGGAGCCTGATGTGGGGTTCGATCCCAGGACGGATCACAACCTGAGCCAAACGCAGAAGTTTAACCAACTTAGCCACCCAGGCGCCCTCATGATAATTTTAAATACAAGTTGAAGGTACCAATTTAAGACTGCAAAGCAAAATCATAATAACAGGACAGAAAGTAAATACCGCTTTAAAGTTTCTTGGAGGTCAGAGGCAAGGCAATCAATGTGGTTGCCATTGGCCATTGGGCGTAACTGTCCCACCTCGTCTCCCTCAGTGCAACCCATCAGCTCTAAAGCAAATCTGAGTAATGAAGAAAACCTGAAATTGTTTGGGGAATGCAACAATCCAAATGACTATGGGCACAATTATAAAGATTGATCCTGTTACAGGAATGGTTATGAATTTGACCGACCTCAGAGAGTACATGGAGGAGGCAGTTATGAGTGCCCTTGATCATAACAATCTGGATCTGGATGTGCCACACTTTGCAGATGTTGTAAGCACAATAGAAAATATAGCTGTATGTATCTGGGAAAACCTCCAGAAATTTCTTTCTCTGGGAGTTCTTTTATAAAGTAAAAGTATATGAAACTGACAATACTGTTGTCGTCTATAAAGGAAAATTGCTTTTAGGGGTTAATACTGCAGAAAGATTAATTTCTTTCAAAGGTCTTTATACCCTTGGACTATTAAGAAGTCATCACATAATTGTTACACCTCCACACTGTGTTCTGGAGTGCCTGATTTATTGAAATCATTGTGTAAGACCTACTGTGAATTCAAATCTATTTTAAAACCAAACTTGTAAAAAACATCCTGTGTACCATTTAGTCTTTTATCTGTAGATTAAAAATCAGTTCATTTTCAGTAAAATGTTGTGTAGAATTTAAAAGCAAAATAAATCAATTTTTTCCCATTAAAAAAAAGTTTCCTGGAGGTCATCTGTAGACAAACTTAGGCTGCTTCTCACTCTTTCACCCTATATCATACACAAGAAGTACCAGTTATTCAGCAAGTGTTTTTTAATTGCTTACTTGCCTGTCTTTCCACTAGATACAAATCTCTCTGTGACTGATGTAATAAGCCTAATTTTGTACTACCATAATCCTGCCACAGAATATTTCACGTGTACATGCATATTTTTAAGGCATCTTTTGAGTATGAAAGTAAAGTTTAGTTTCAAGAGAAATTTTTACTACATGGCTTTCTAAATTATCGAACTAAAGTAACTGAAACCCATCTTAATACAAATACTCAAAATAAGATAAAAACGAAAACAACCAAACCAACCTGTTTCAAAAACTCAGTTAACTGCAAACAGGAAACAAAAGAATCAAAAAGAACTTGACAGATGGGAAAAATTTTGTAAGATGAAATTTATAATAAAGACACAAAGAAGTTTTTATTCTAATGGGAATAGTAACAGGAAAAAATTTATCATCTTTTCAGTAAGTAAAAATTTTTAAAAATCTTGAAAATCAACATGACTTACTCTTTAATATCACGAAGCTGATCAACATCTTGTGATCTTGTAAAATCTGGATCATGGGCTAGCAGGTGAATCATGTATGGAACTACATATTCAGGCAACAGTGATAATAATTTCTCTAAAGTGAAAACATTATTATTAACAATAGTAATAATAGCTTTTATAAAATCCCTCTCTAGTTTTGCATTCTAACCACTTCAGTTTCCATATTTTTTCTCAGTTATTTTAAAATTACAGGCAACATGCTATCTAGATGATAGTGAAATACATTTCAATGTTGAAAGCTACTAAAGCCAAAAGAATAATTTGAGATTATACAGTGAGTCTTTGGTAAAGCTGGGAAAATAATTCTTTACTCTCTGACATATGAGCAGTGTGTTTAAATCAAGTCACACTGCTGATCCCATAAGAAAAATACAATTCCTCCGAAGTTTTATACATTATAAATAGCACTTAGAAACCAGGATTTTAGATGTTAAGTATATCCTAACTATAGCAACAGAATTCTATAAAAATTAAAAATTGTAGTGTTTTTATAAATATACTACAATGGAAATATAGGAAATAAAACCCCCCTATAAATTGATACACTCACAAGATATATTTGCACACTTGGAGCTTTCAAAATTACTTACCAGTAGCCATGGGATTCTGTTTAATGTATTCCCTGCGTATACTGATATTTTTTAGTAAACACTGTCGTGCATGTGCTCTTCTCTCCTTCACAGGATCTTTGGCACACAAGGCAAAGATCGCCATATACTCCAATGGGAGTAGTAACTTCACGAGAGCCTTATGCAACTTCTGAGCAAATATCTGCCTTACTTGGTAGCACTCATCCTACAGCAGCAGAAAACCAAAAATACTTAAATGTTAGTACTTTTAAAACCATGACAAAATAACCCAGTTAAGAAAAAAACTGGGAAACATTTACTAAAGAGCAGCTTGTCCCAAAAGTCTTCATTTAAAAAAAACGATTATATTGGGGAATAAATAACAATACTTAAACGATATTTAGTTAGAATAGTTATAATACCAATTCCTTTTGTGCACACAGTAAATGGATCTGTATTCACAGAAAGTAAATGTATTTAACTTTGAAGACCAAGTAACTGACAAAAATAAGAGGATTACTTACATTAATAACAAGTGCACAGAGCTGAAACTGTTCTGGGGTTATAATTTCATGGTAACAAGGTTCCTGAGCAAGCTTCATTATGGCACTACCAGCAGCTAATCGCAAGCGAGACATATCAGATTTACTATAAACAAACAAAAAAGAAATAAACATTTCCTATAACCATTATCATTCATAACAATGCTTTGATCCCTTTTGGGTGTTAAGGTCTTTAGCATAATTTATGCTTAAAATAACATCATGTACAAATCTGGGAAAGCTACTTTGAGTCCTTGAACTCAACACAGGGGAAAAAGGCTCAAATCATTGTGACTAATGATAAATTTATCTGCCCTCATTTTTAGTTATGTTCTAGTGTAGGTCCTCTACCACAGCCAAGCAGCTCTACTTATGATTACAACTACGGTAACTGCAATGCCAAGAAGAACCATTTATATCAGGAATGGTATTCCTCATTTTAAGAGGAATACACATTCGTTGTAAAAAACTTGATTAAATCACCTATCATATTAAATGTTTCCTACAGTTTTTAAATGCATGTACATACATACACACATGTAATAAAAATCTAGCCTAAGCCTACGACTGATGAAATGGAGGGGCTAGCAATGGGGAGCTGATTTATACCACAGAAGGGGATGTATCAGACAAATATCTAAGAGGAAAGGATATGGAAATGAGAGCCAGTGTCTATCTGGGCACCTACTCTCTGGGGCAGACTTCCTTTTGTAGCCAACCCCCCCCCCCCCCCAGGAGGTCCAGCCCTTCCACCCCCGCCCAATAGTTTTTTACTCCCTAACTGGTAAAATGGGACAATGAATGAGATGAAAGGACAGTGAGTGTTATTTCAACTTCTATGTTAAACACAGCATGGTTATGACATTTTAAAGACTTCAGGAAACGTGGAAAGCTGGCTGAGTCCATCATTAGCATACAAGAGGAGACAACATGGCACTCCTGGACTACAGGATTATCAGAGTGAACACTGGTATTTTTTTTTTTTTTTAAAGATTTTATTTATTTATTTGACAGAGAGAGACACAGTGAGAGCAGGATCACAAGCAGGGGGAGTGGGAGAGGGAGAAACAGGCTTCCCGCAGAGCAGGGAGCCCGATGTGGGGCTTGATCCCAGGACCCTGGGATCATGACCTGAGCCAAAGGCAGACGCTTAACAACTGAGCCATCCAGGTGCCCCGAACACTGGTATTCTTGAGGGAACTTCAAATGGCTTCTGAGACAAATGATTCAGGAATTAAAAAAAAAAAAAATAGCTGCCATCTGGGTGCTTAAGCCTGTGCTAGGCTGTGCAAACACTATCTAATTTTCACTCTGTAAGTGAGCAAATTGAGGCTTAGAAAAGTGATTTGTAGAAGTTCACACACTTGGTAAATGGAGTGGAGAGTTGTAGAAGTTTCTGATTCTAGAGCTCAAGCTAAACCATGGCATATACAATACCTAATTAAGATTTGCCTAATATTTCATGACATGTGTGTTCCACAATTAACCATTCCCTTATTTTCTGTGATTAAAAATGCTGCAAAGAACATGTTTGTATGTATGTTTTTGTATGATTCTTTTATTATTTCATGAGTGTAAAAAGAGAGTCAAAAGGGTAACATTTATAAGGATCTAGACACAAAATGCCAAACTGTCCTGCCAAGACTGTGCCAGTTTATATTAATAGGAGTAATGAGGGGACCCATTTCCCTGAACCCATGAAACAGTGATTACTTTAAAAAATATTTTTGCTGATTTGATAGTCAAGAGGTATCACTAAGTTTAAACTATATTTATTGTATTTAGTGATGTTAAACATTTTTAAAAAGGTAAACTGATAATTCATAGTCTTCATCTCTATTGAGGATTCTGCCTATTTATCATGGCTTTATAAGAGCTCATTATTAAGCCTTTGCCACAGTTTCCCCAAATGTAAAACTTATTATCCCTAACTCAGCTCTAATCTTCTAATCTGTTCCTACAATACCCTTGGCTTATTCTATGATAAAGACAATTTTCCATGGTTTTCTTCAGTTTATCAAAGCATTAAGCATCTTTACCGTAATTTGCTCATTTCCTAATCTCCTCCATTAAAATGCACATTCCTTGGAAGGAGAGATTTTATACCTTTAAAAAAAAGCACAGCAGTACCTAGGATGACAGTACTCAATAAATAATGAATGCATAAATGAATAAATTTGTCCTGTAGTAACACATTTTAAAGTAGGAATGCATCACAAGGAGAATTCTGTAATTTTATCTGTTGGTATTCCTGGACCCTAGTAAATCAAGAATTTGAAACAAACAAGGGTCATGAAAAATTTGCTTTTATTTTCATCTTAAAATGAACAGAAAGAAATGGTGATTTCACAACACAGTGAAAATGTGCAGAAATGGAAACAATTTGGTTTTTTGCATTCGCAGAACCTTGTTTTAATCTTCTGCAAACCACCAGGAGGGCTGTGACTTTTCCTCCTTTGAACCCCTCCACTGAAGCTTGTATTCTTTTCGTGGTATCCAGTCACCCACCTTGTCCAATCACTATACTACAGGGTAAAAGGTAGGAACTGAATCTTATCTGTTTTTGCTGCAATGCTTTTCATGGTGTTTTGCAAAGTGTAGTATTTCAACAGATATTTGCTTAAGTGAACCAAAAATGTTGAAGCCAACTGTAACATATAGTGATTATGACTAAACATTCACTGGAAAAAGTTTGGTCTTTAGAAAAGAAACATTCCATCATTGAGTTGAAAACCCCAAGTGAGTACATTAGATCTGATCCCAAAGCATATGGTGCAATTACAACATGCAATATTAATTAGGTAAATAATTCCTATGTAAGTTCTACCAATATTTTGAGCTGTAAAAACTGGAAAGGAAGAAAGATCTCACCTGATCCTCTTTTGCTCTGTCAGGTCACCCTCACTAACCAACATCGCTGATAATAATCGAAGAGTTGAATTGGCAGATTTAGACTGGTTGTTTTTCATACCCAACAGCCACCTTACCAGAAGTTTAATTGCCTGTACCTATAAAATATTAACATGCTAAAAAAAAAAGGAACTTAAAATTCCAATTAAAGGGAAGATTAATTTATGTCAATTAGATTAGTGAGGTTGCTTAACCGCTGGTGGACATGTTTTATTAAACAAGTCTGTAGATAGTAACAATATTTATTGTTTAATCGATAATAGGCACTTTTCCCAGAGCTGTACATGTATTAACTTATTTGATGTTCCAAACAAGCCTACAAGGGAGGTGTTTTTATTTCCAATAGATAAGGCAGCAGAGACACATTACTAAGATAGATAACTTGCTCAAAGTCTGGCTCCTGAACCCAGGCTTTTTGCAGTTGCCCAAAATTTTCAAATTATTTGAAAATATATCATTTAAAAATAACTATTTAAACTATACCTATTACAGTGATTAAAATGAGCTATTTAGATAGACTTTAATATTTTTATAGTACTGCAAAAACTACTTTGAAGAAACCACTAAGTCTGATTCTGTCTGACTATCCTGATTAAAAAAACTAGGAGATTCCATAATTATTTGTGGTCATAATTTCTTGGAGGTTTATCAAAAGATTGCTACCAATACATGTGAAAGAACTAGCTAAAGGATCTAGGTGTTATTTACGATATTTATTGACAATCTGGAAAAAAGAATTGATGGAACAGACTAGGAAGCTATACAAGGTGAAACAGATTATTAAGGAAGATGGTAACAAAACAAGTCTTGTCTTCAACCCCAATACTACCACTTTAAAAATTAGTTTTACTGAGAGACATTTTGTACCTATCAAAAGTTACCAATTCGATGACAGCTATCTGTTTTTGCCAAGTTAATATTCATATTTTTGTAGAGTGGTAGTTAGGCTAGACCTGAGATGCTTCTGAGCATTGACATCCTACAAACAATTTCTGTGTAAAACAGCCTCACTGAAATTATTTTAGCAGGCATGAAGTTCTACAGAATATGCTGACATATCTATATATAAATAACTCAATGAGGACTATAATTTCTTTGAGAGAAACAACTTTTGATTTAAAAATAAAGTACCTCATTTAAAAATACTATTAGCTGTCAGATTAAAGAAAAAGGGTGTCTATGAATGTTCATTATTTCAACACAAAAGTTATCAAGGCCTACATAAATTTACCTTTGCTAGTACTTCAGGGGAAACCTCTTCATCTGGAGACCATAATTTTCCATTCTTCTCACCTGTTGACTATAGACAATTGAATATATTTAACTCTTAGAAAGATTTTTTAAAGTTTCCTTCATTAAGTTTTTCATGCTGAACAATGCAGTGCTCTAGGAAACCTATAGGAAAGTCACCAGAGCTTGAAAAAGAACAAAGTTGGAGGACTTGAACTTCTTGATTTCAAAACTTACTACAAATTTATAGTAATCAAGACAAAATGGATGGCACTGACATGTATAGGCATATAGACCAATGGAATGAAATAGAGAACCCAGAAAACCCTCACATATATGGTCAACTGATTTTTAACAAGGTTGCTAAAGCCAATTACTTCAAACAAATGGTGCTGGAAAAACTAGATATCCACAAGCAAAAAAAAGATGACCTGTTACCTTACATCATATATAAAAATTAACTCAAAAAAAAATAAATCAAAGATCTTAATTTAAGAGCTAAAACTATTAAAACTCTTAAAAGAAGATACAGGGGAATATCTTCATCATCTTTGATTTGGCAAATATCTGACAAGGGTTTAATACTCAGTATATATAAAGAATTCTTACAACTCAGCAACAATAAACACCCCAATTAAAAGTGTGCAAAGGACTTTGAATGTCCAAGAAGATACACAAATGGCCAAAAGCATATGGGAAAAAAAAAAAACCTTCACATTGTTAGTCATTAGAGAAACACAAACCAAAACCACAAGATACTACTTCACATCCACTAGAATGGCCATTGTCAAAAACACAGAAAAGAGGAAGCATTGGCAAAGATGTGACAAAAACTGGAAGGCTTGTGCATTGATGTTAGGAATGCAAAAATGGTACAGCCACTGTGGAAAACAGTGGGGTGGTCCCTCAAAAAGTACAACACAGAATGACCATGTGACCTAGCAATTCCACTCCGAGGTACAGATCGAAAAGATTTGAAAACAGGGTCACAAATGTTCACATCAGCATTATTCACAAAAGTTAAAAGGTGGGAAAAAACACAACTGTCCATTAACAGATGAATAAAAAAAATGTAGGCTACAGATACAACATTATTCTGGCATTAAATGAATTAACTTCTGATACATAACACAAATGAACCTTGAAGTCATTATGCTAAGTGAAATATGCCAGGAACAAAAGGACAAATATTGTATGATAAGAGGTATCTAGAAGAGGCAAATGCAAAGTCAGAACAAAGTACAACAGAGGTGTTACCAAAGGCTGTGGGAAGGAAGCAATGGGAGTTATTGGTTAATGAATGCAGAGTTTCTGAGATTAAAATGTTCTGAAAATCGTGGTGACAGTTACACAAAAAATGTGGGTACATATTTTAGGTGGTACTTTGGGTCATTTCGGAGAGTTGTTTGGCTTTCCTGGGTATTTCCTATGTATACAGGAGGCATACATGGTATAAAACTTCTTTTTATTTTTTAAAAAACCAAATCAAACAAAAACACCCACCCAACAACAAAAACAAGAATGTTGGTGTATGTAAGTGATAGACACTTAAAAATGGCAAAAATGCCGTTTATATTAGGCATATTTTACCACACAAACAGCAACAAAAAAGAGCCACTGTGAACTACAATCTAGTCAGTCTAAGAGGGGTCTTAAATTTCACATTTGTTGCCATTCATATCTATCAGTAGTGCAAAGAACAGCCTGAATGTGTTGAGTGGGAAATGACACTTTGGCCATGCTCTTCCATTCTTGTCTATTACATCCAAATGGGGGAAGGGAAAGAGGATGGAATGCACTGGCAAATTCTTTCTTTTTAGGTAAGCTGGATAAATTAGCACTTCATTGAAAGTCATCCACAATGATCCAGCAGGTAAAACAGATTTGTCTTCATTCAACAACTTTTTAATTTAGATCTACTTGGTAAAGTAGTGACTCTTAATCAGAGGTGTGTTTCAGGAATCACTTGGCGTGCCTTTTCAAGCTATATATTCCCAGGCTCCAGCCCAGAGTTAATAAATTAGCATGTATGCACATACACGTGTGTGTACCCACCCCACATACTTCAATAACTAAAATGTGCATCTAGTGCCAAAAATGCAATGTAATTATATTTCAAAACACTAGTTAAATACAAATCCACTCGTATTTTTAACAACATCTGATAAAATTCTAGCACTCCAGTAAATTGTCCTTCAAATGTTAGGATAATAGCATTTGACTTATATTTTTTACTTCATGATTCATCCATCTCATGTTCTCATTTTTTCTTTCTTAAATGTTAAGTTCTGGTAATAGCTACATAAAGTCAGGATGTCATTTGGAAATTTAAGTAAATAAGGAGGGAAAACACAATAATTTAAAAGGAAAATTAAATAGAGAAGCAGAAATGTTTCTGTGATAAAGATGTAAATAGTTTTAGTCTTATTCTAAATTTAATTAAATTAGAAACTTACCCTGTCATTCATTAGCAGATCTTTCACAATAAAATTTGCTACTACAGATTTCATTGGGGAAGCAAATTGATCTGGTGCTAACATAGAAATGTGTCCCAATGAAACTAATGGAGTTATAAGTTGTTCTGGTACATCAGCATTCAGACTCCTACTGAGTGGCTATAAAAATAAAACAGTCAAAATTACCAGTTTTGTTTTATAAATATCTAGACATTCTATGGAAACAGTAAATGTTCCTGACCCTCCTGAGTTTGTTGTGCCCAAACAAAGCTGTGCTAATATGATCAAAAGTAGCTTCAGCCATATTAGACACTCAATTTTTATTTCAACTACTGAAATTCAGTAAGATTGAAAGAATCCAGGAAAAAAAAAAGCACACATAAAAGGCAGAAGTAAAAACAAGAACATTTCTGCATCATCAAATCAGCATTATTTTCAAGCCATCTACAATAATAGGCTTGTTACGTTGGTGGACTTCTTACCCTATGGGGACATTTTAAAGACCATGGACCATAAATAAGTGTTCACTGGGTTCTGCTGATACTATATCCAGTTTATAATAACAGGAGTACCTTTCCAACAGTGGAAATCAGGTCAAGGATCATACATAAGAAAAGGCAAACAGGACTAATTTTCAGGTAGGGTTTTCAGGTACTTTAAACTGGGTAGTTCAAAGTTACTTTCTGAGGATACATACCACAGAGCCAATAAAGCTAAAACTAAGTAAAATGTTCTAACACAAACACACAAAATATTCTTCTGTATGTAGGATTTGAACATATAATGTGAACTAAAGGCTATGAATACAGTGCTAAAAAAAAGAGAGCCCCTGCTCCCATAGAATTTATATACGAGGGTGAGACTAAAAAATAGCCAAAAAAAATCTACCTTCTATCTTCATCAAACCACACAGCATAAAAATAAAAATCAACATAAACGCATCCATAAACGCATCCTATATATTATATATACCTCAAAAATCTGTGCAAGCTGGACTTCTTTATTTGTGAATATGGCATGTATACAGTGAACAGCCTGTTTTGCTTGGTGTGGAGTACCTCTCTTTGCTTTCTGATGTAAAATGGGAATTAAGGTCCTGTAAAAAATAATATCATAGTTTAAAAAAAACCCATATACCACAAGTAGTTCTTTTGGTTGTCTCCTCTACCTACTTTCCCATAACTGTTTGGATGTATGCTGGTAGAGAAGCCTCTCATTATTTTTTTAAGTTTATTTAAGTAATCTCTACACCCAATGTGGGGCTCGAACTCTCATGACGCTGAGATCAAGAGTTCGCGTGCCGCACCAACTGAGCCAGCTGGGCACCCCGAGGAGACTCCTTTAAAAATTACCTCATCTATAGAAAGATTTAAAGCTCTTTATCTGTCCTCAGCTATAATCCAAGAAATACAATGTCTCAAGAAAAACTACTTCTGGGGGCACCTGGGTGGCTCAGTCGTTAAGCATCTGCCTTCGGCTCAGGTCATGATCCCAGGGTCCTGGGATTGAGCCCTGCACTGGGCTCTGGGCTCCGCAGAGAGCCTGCTTCTCCCTCTCCCACTCCTCCTGCTTGTGTTCCCTCTCTCGAGGTCTCTCTCTGTCACATAAAGAAAGAAAGAAAGAAAGAAAGAAAGAAAGAAAGAAAGAAAGAAAGAAAGAAAGAAAGAAAGAAAGAAAGAAGGAAAAAAGGAAAAGGCTACTTCGGGAGACAATCTCTGTTTTAAAGCCACCTCATGAATATGGAGAAATAAACAAGCCACCCTTAATTTATAATCTAAAACTTGCCCCATGCCATACTCTTATATCTACCTTCTAAGTACATATTCCTAATTTTCCATTTCCCTTTCACAATCCCCTTCAGTTATTTTAAAGCAGTCATGGAAAAAAAGTAGCAAAAGGCCAAGTTTTATTAAAAAGTTGAGATGATACCAGTGAAACAAAGTATGCAAGGATACAGACATATATTGGTAGAGGAGTAATAAAAGCATCTAACGATTATTGAGTACTTGTGCCAAGCACCTTTCTAAGTGTTTTTACATGGATTAAGTTAATTAATCCTCACAGTCACACAAAGAGGACTGTTATATTAAACAGATAAGAAAACTAAAGGACAAAAATATTATTTATTTAAGCTTCTTAAGCTGACGGAGCTAGTATTTGGTGAGGTTGGGATGTGAAGATGTGTTCCAAGATCCCTGCACTTAACCTCCAAATTGACACTGAAGATCAAAGTAAAACAATCTTTCCTTAGGACAATATGTACTTTATTGTCCTACATTACAGTCTTAAGCATTAAATGTTGATGATATGGGAAACACTGTACGAAGAAAACAGCATGTGTGTATCAACCTGTAAAAGAACAGGTATATATATACATCAAGTAGATAAAATACTCTTAAAAATTACGAAGTGTTGATAGTGACTCTTTTTCTCCTTTATATATCCTAAAGTTTCAGCTTTTTACAATGAACATACACATATTTTTTTTAATCAGAAGAAAATCTATTTAAGGCAAAAAAAAATTTAAGGAAAAATAGCTGTCATTCATTTACTGCAGTAGTCCTATTTTATAGATTATAAAGTCAGTTGTGTCATATACAATGGTGAAAAAGGGTCCTCTCATGAAAACAGGAGGCTAGACATTAAGAGCAAGTACCCCAGATTCCAGGTCATGCACCTCAACCAAAAAACTGGAACATATGCTAGTCAGCATAAAGTGGATTTGACATTTCTGAGTATGCCACATTTCTTTGTACGCAGGTTTAAAATGGTAAGCTAGGGATTTCTATGCCCAAGCAGCCTCCTTAACTGAGCACTCTTTTTCTCACAAACTCATTTACCAGTAACAGTTCTTTTTTTTTTTTTTTTAAGATTTTATTTATTTATTTGAGAGCGAGAATGAGAGAGAGAGAGAGCATGAGAGGGGGGGAGGTCAGAGGGAGAAGCAGACTCCCTGCCAAGCAGGGAGCCCGATGCGGGACTCGATCCCGGGACTCCAGGATCATGACCTGAGCCAAAGGCAGACGCTTAACCAACTGAACCACCCAGGTGCCCTACCAGTAACAGTTCTTATAAATAACACAAGTAACAAGGGAGACGCAGCACCGATCAAATTGTTGTTAAACATATTATTAATTCTTCTTAGTCTAATGAAATGACAACACATAAATCAACTTTAACCTTTTTCCTTGTTATTCTAGTGTGCTATAATCTAATGATGCCATCAAGGTTATTGTTGAGGCCTGCACTGTTGTGCTTCTCTGCTTTTCAATGATTCTCTCCTTCCTTCCTAATTAGTCTTTTTTTTTTTTAAGATTAAAAATTTTTTTTTTTAATGAGAGAGAGAGCACAAGCAGGGGGAGTGGCAGGGAGAGGGAGAGGGAGAAGCAGGCTTCCCGCTGAGCAGGGAGCCCGATGTGGGGCTCGATCCCAGGACCCCGGGGATCATGACCTGAGCCGAAGGCAGACGCTTAACCGACTGAGCCACCCAGGCATCCTTTTCTAATTAGTCTTAAGAGGTTTTGGGGCTCCTGGGTGGCTCAGTCGGTTAAATGTCTACTTTTGGCTCAGGGATGGAGCCCTGAGCTGGGCTCTCTGCTCAGCAAAAGCCTGCTTCTCCCTCTCCCTGCTGCTCTGCCTACTTGTGCTCTGTGTCAAATAAATAAATAAAATCTTAAAAAAAAAAAAAAAAAGAATATGAGGTTTTATTCCTTGTGTCCAAAAATTAACGATTCCATCTATCCCCATTTTTCCACTGCTTCATTTTGGATAGAATTCCTTTAAGAATAAATCCTTTACCTTAAAAAAGGTTCTCCTACCTTGAAAAACTCACCAGAAACTTTATCCTACTGTGTCAATGGTTTTTTTTCAATGTACAAATACAAAGATTATTCTCTCTCGACTATAAACTCCTTGAGAACAGGGACTGACTGTAGTAATTCTTTATTATTAGCCAGTACATGAGAATGAAGAGAATGTACAATAAACATTGACTTATTTCTCAAATTAAACTATTAGCTCACAAATTTAATAAAAACTAGGAGTCAGGAGTTCTCTTATCCTATTATTACCTGGTAAGGAAAAACTGGTTTGATTTGGATATATCCAAAACTATTTGCATATACCCTGAACATGTGATTCAACAGCTATCAGCAATGTGTTTTTCTTCCAAAAGACATCTCCCACATCTTTTGTCTAAATATAAACTCCCAGCACAAATTTGATCCTAAGGCAACCTCTTTAAGATGCCAAAGTAAAAATATCAACATGTATTTCATTCTTATGGTGAAAGGGGAAAGGTAATGAGAGAGAGATCAAAATTATCAAAGCACCACTGCCAACAACCAACCAATAAGATACGCTATTAAGCACACTACTTGATTATCCCATTCTTTGGTGAGACATGAAGGTGGCAGCTATTGAATTTAAACCAGCTGAGAAAAAAAAAATGAATATACTTAGATAACGAAGATATATTAACCATAAATTTGAAATCCTGTGAAAACTCTTGATTAATATTAATATTTAAAAATCTTGTTATAAACAAAGTTTCAGTTTGTTCTTTTAATGGTGGAGGAGGAGAATGAGGCAGAGTAAAGATAAAACAAAGGATACAGAAAAGTAGCTTTTTTTCCTTTTTTTTTTAAGTAGGCTCCACGCCCCACATGGGGCTTGAACTCATGACCCTGAGATCAAGAGCTGGATGCTCTACAGACTGAGTCACCCAGTTGCCCCCAGACAAGTAGCTTCTAAGTAAAAATTCTCTTTCCTCACTCCTATCTTCCTCCATGAAAGGGAAAATGGACTGTATGGCTCCCACACTTAAAAAACTTTTGTGTTAAAACAACAACAAAAACTACTTTGTGTTTACCATGAGAAAAAATATACTCACGATCGTATCTGGGGTAGGTCTGTTTCTATTTTGTGGCCTGTATTTCTAAAAATTTGTATAGCAGCTTCTGCTACCTTGTCATCTTCCATTCTGAGGCACTGTAACAGGGACTCATATGTCTCTGCAGAGTGGAACGAGGTAGGATGTGTGAAAGACAGAACCTGGAGGAATAGATACAGCTTTAGAAGTATAGACAATGGTTTTAATCCATTAAAAGATAATTATATTTTCTACTATAAATACAATTCAAAATATTGGGCTGCATATGCTAGCTATACAGAATGAAGATTTTATTTCATAGCCTCCTTTGCAATTTGTTGCATTTAATCAGACATTAGCAGAAATATCGTGCATTAGATTCCTTAAGAGAGTTGATTTATAGCCCTTGCCCTATTTTCTTCTTCACCTCTTAGTCTATCCTGATACTGGGAATGCAGAAAACGTGGCTCCTTTTTTATGGACTGTGATATTGTGAAGTGAACAAAATGTTAACACAGCTTTATTTCGCTGGCAAAAAGATACTCTATAAGCGATATTTTAAGTGGAATCCATCACAAAAAGTGCACTGGGTGTAGCTATAAACAAGCCATAACTGTGAACTTTTATCATGATTACAAACATAAATAATTATTCCCTTACTTATGCCTACATAAGTCCCAGTCTATCCCAAAGGAATGTACAGCAAGTTAGACATAACATGTCTACAAAGTTTACTTTCTATGAAGTGGGAACAATTTAGTTAGCATAATATCAGTAATAAGGGCTAAGTGGAGAAGTGAGGGGCAGGGGATGGAGTATGTAGTCTTAACTTATTCAATAAGCATTTATTTACTGGGTTATAAAGTAAAGAGATTGTCTCATTTGGTTAGGTTCTTGTTGATATTTAGATAATATGTTGACATGTTAAATAAGTTGATAATATAAAACCTTATTAAGTTTTACTTACAGAAAAAAGGAGAATCAAATTTGAAAAACTGAAAAAACCTATTAAAAATGTTTATCTTAAGGATGATTTCACTCTTAAAACTACTTAAAAATATAACCTCATTATTAAAAATATAATTAGAATCTTTCTTATGAAGCATCATATCAATTATTCCCATGAAATTATATTTAAGACCATTCTAGTACAATCCCATCACTGTTTTCTTGCTCACGTCCACTGCATTGATTTGTCTCTTCTCCCTTAGTTTATATATTGTAATGATCTAAACTTTTTTTTTTTTTTTTTTTTTAGATTTTATTTATTTGCGAGAGAGAGAATGAGAGACAGAGAGCATGAGAGGGAGGAGGGTCAGAGGGAGAAGCAGACTCCCTGCTCAGCAGGGAGCCCGATGCGGGACTCGATCCCGGGACTCCAGGATCATGACCTGAGCCGAAGGCAGTGGCTTAACCGACTGAGCCACCCAGGCGCCCTGATCTAAACATTTTTTGCCTTCAATTTCCTCTCCTCTTTACTCCATCTGATGAAAGCTCTGTCAAGTGCTGTTATCATATTAAAAGCCAGAATGAAAGACCCTGATAATACCTTTCTGCTCCAACAGCATTCCACAATCTAAAACCAATTTTGTCTCCCATTATTCCCCAAAGCAGTCCTTTTCTCTGGTTAGGCTAGACTCCAACAATTCCTAAAATATGCCAAGAATTACCTTCTTTGATGATGCTGTGTTTCCCCTAGATTAAGTCATATCTTATCCATAAAGTCTTGTCTGACCTGGCTCTTAATTGCTCTATTCTCTGAATTCTTTGGCATAAGAATATAAATATGATTAGCAATTGTTTAAAAATTCCCTGATCAGACAGATGCTATTACTATGTAACTCCTGTGAGCAATCCTACTGCTCCAGATGAAAGGTAAGACTAGATCATTTAGAACATACTGGTACAAGCACCTATTATTAAATACAGGCATGCAAATTATGAAACTGCAAACCCCCAAAACATTATTATTTTATAATGTAAAACAATTACATTATTGTAATGAAAAAACACACATTATTTTTATAAACTGTGATTTCTACCACAAATGTTTAATCTTTCAAATACTTTCCAGTGAAATAAAGTCCAACTCTTGCATATCCTTATGGGAGTTCAAATTAAAACTGTGGAAATGCATGGAGACAAAATTATCTCAAAAGTACCTTAAGAAGTTCAAGTCCTGAACGAATAGCTGTATCTGGACTTACACCCTCCTCTTCATCATCTGCTGTCCCCTCTATTGATTTATTCATCAGTTTTACCAGTGCACTATTAAAACGAGAAAATCTCAATTAGTAACCTTACTAGATTAGTAACTGTATCCTAATTGCACTGTGGCAGAACACATACAGAATCTAAACATCAGAGACAAATATGTTCATGGAGAAAAAACTTTTTTTAAACTTTGCTCCCTATTTGAAAGCTGAGATATTTTTAGTTTATCTCCCTATACCACCGACCAAACTCCATGTGTAACTCTACTGAAAACAACAAAACTAAAATTAAACGACACATACTAGAAATATAATTTACTATTGATTTCTATGTATAAAGATATCATTTACAATCTTAGGAAAAACAAAAGAGGGCAGCTGCTAAATGGACAAATGACAATTCACTCAAAGCAAAAAGCTAATAGTTAACAAAAACATGGACAAAGATGTTTAAATTAATCCCTGATAATTAATTTACTGAATCAGTAATTACATTCCTAGAAATTCATAGCAAAGCAGTTCATCAAAAGCATGTTATATTCATAAATAGATTCATCAATTAAAAACCCACTTAATTACAAAAATACAGATTCTAAGGGACACACGCACCCTGATGTTTATAAGCAGCCTTATCAACAAGAGCCAAACTGTGGAGAGAGCCCAAATGTCCATTGACTGATGAACGGATAAAGAAGAGGTGGTACATATATACAATAGAATATTACTCAGCCATCAAAAAGAATGAAATCTTGCCATTTGTAATGATGTGGACAGAACTAGAGTGTATTATAAGTGAAATAAATCAGTCAGAGAAAGACAAATACCGTATGATTTCACTCATATATAGAATTTAAGAAACAAAACAGACAAACATATGGGAAAGGAAAAGAAAGAAAGAAAAGAAAAAGAGAGAGGGAAACAAACCGTAAGAGACTCTTAACAATAAAGAACAAACTGAGGGCTGATGAGGGAGGGGGATGGGGGATGGGCTAGATAGGTGATGGGTATTAAGGAGGGCACTTACTGTGATGGAACACCAGATGTTGTATATAAGTGATGAATCACTAAATTCTACTTCTGAAACCAATACTGTACTGTATGTTAACTAGAATTTAAATATTTAAAAAACCATTTAATTGTCCAACATTATGGAATTAATTTTTCAAACATACCTAACCACCACAAAATGGAGTATTACTTGGTCAATAAAAATCAGTCTATGTAGCAAGATGATACTATTTTAAGTAAAAACAGATGTGATTTTTGGTTTTGAGACTGCTTCCTCATCAGTAAACTGAAGATAATACTACCTTATTTTGAGGGACACTAAATTATTACAGCAAATGGCCTAGTATATAGCAAATATTTAACAAATGGAAGCTAATGATAAATTTTAGGTGAAAATTTTTCCTTTGGAAAAATATGCATATTTTAAATTATTAAAAAAATTTTAAGTACAAAATATATAAGATGCACATATGCATCTTCTATATAATTTAAACCACTTTTAGTACTTTTCTTTCTAACAACACAATAATTTAAAAACCTTAGTATCTTCAATTGATTTAAAAAAACAACTTTTTTTTTTGAGAAAACAAATTAGGGGTGTGTGTAAATAGTAGCCTGAAATATAATTTATATATCATATAATTCACATATTTAAAATGTGTAATTCAATGGTTTTTAGTGTAGATTCACAGGGCTGTAAAACCATTACCACAATCTAATTTTAGATTTCTCCCCGTCCCCAAAAAAACCCCTTTCCAAGTCACTGCTATTCACTTGCACCTCCTCTAGCCCTAGTAATCTATTAATCTACTTTCTCCTGTTATAGATTTCCCTATTCTGAATATTTCATATAAATAAAATCATACAATATATGGCCTTCTGTGACTCCTTTCACTTAGCAAACTGTTCTTAAGGTTCATCCATGTTGTAGTATGCATCAGTATTTCATTCACTTTAATCCTGAATAACCTTCCAGTATATAAGACAATTTATCCATTCATCAATTGACAGACATTTGGGTTGTTTCCACTTTTTTGGCTATTATGAATAATGTTGCTATAAGCATTCATATACAGGTATGGACATATATTTTCATTTCTCTTGGACATATATTTAGGAGTGGAATTGCGGGTTGCTATAGTAACTCTCTCTGTTTTCACTTTTTGAGGAACTGCCAAACTGTTTTCCAAAGCAGCTCCATCATTTTACATTCTCACTGGCAATACAGGAGGGTAACAATTTTTTTGCATCTTCTCCAACTCATCTGTCTTTTTGATTATAGCCATACATGTGCACGACACACACACACACACACACACACACACACACACACTAACATTCCCATCTCCTCACAAAAAATTGCCTTATGTCCCCTGTGTCGTCAATCTCCTTTTTCCATGCTGGCAATCACTGATCTGGTTTCTGTCACTACAATTTTACCATTTCTAGAATTTCATATATTTTGTGTCTGACATTTTTTAAGTGACATAATTCTTTTGAATTATGAGGAATCTCTTTTGAGATTCCTCCATGTTGTTGAGTAGAATCAGTAGTTTATTCCTTTCTACTGCTGAAAAGTATATATTGTATGGATATATCACAGTATGATTACCCAATTATCAATAGATGGACGTTAGGGTATTTCCAGCTTAAAGATATAAATAATTTATTTAATTAATTGCTATAAGCAATTAAATATACATCTTTATGGCAATTTATGTTTTTTTTTCCTTGTAGACAATATGTAGTATTGGGATTCCTGAGTTGTATGGTAATATTATATGTCTACTTAATGTTACAACAAACGGTCTCCTACAGCATCAACACTTGGTATGGACAGAATCTTTAATTTTAGCCAAATGATTGTGCAGTGGCATTTCTCATTGTAATGTGAATTTATATTTCCCTAATGAGTAATAATGTTCATTGTCTTTTCCTGTGCTTATTTTCTATTTGTATATCTTACTTGGTGAAGTCTGTTCAAATCTTCTGTTCATTTTTATACTTTGTCTTACTGAGTAGTAACAATACTTTTTATATTCTGGATATAATCTTTTATCAGGTATATGCTTTGCAAGTCTTTTCTCCCAGTCTGTAGCTTGACTTTTCTTTCTCATAATGGTGTCTTGCAAAAAGGAAAAATTATTTCATTTTCTTTCATTGTTTGTGCTTTTTATGTCCCATTTAAGATATTTTGCTCACCCCATATTTTGTTTTATAAGTTTTAGCTCTGACATCATATATTTTTTAAAAAGTTATTTTCAATTTGAGAAAAATATTCTGAATTAACTTTCTATTAGGAGGAAATCCTATAAAATGATTAATTTAACAGGATTATAAATGTGTTTGAAAAAATTATGTGTTTGAAAAAATGATACATTAATTTAACAAGATTATAAATGTGTTTGAAAAATTTAATTTAACAAGATTATAAATGTGTTTGAAAATGTATCTAATTATTTGCAAGAGGTCATCCATACATTTACTTAATAAGTATTTAATGACTACCTATTATGTATGAAGTCTTAGGGTCTGTCCTGAAAGTATAGTGCAAAACAAGACAGACATAATCTTTTTCATTTATAATGTGGGTACATCACCATTATGAGTCGAGCTATAAGAAAAAGACCCAAGTCTTGAAACCAGGATTGTAGTCCTTCCTCTTATAAAAGTACTTTCATTTCTAAATGAGAGAAATAATACATACACCATATACTTCACAGGGGTATCATGCAGCAAAAGATTATTACCAATTCAAGTACACGTTGAAAACTGCTTGGGAAGTCTTCTATGTGTCTCTTTCTCTTCCATGCTGTGTTAACAATGGATACAAATCTTCACCATTCTATCTCAGGTCTAAATCCTTCCACTGAGCAGACTACCTACTTTACTTTTAACCTAACAGAGAATAATGGAGGCCTTGAGTGAAAACTAATGTTCTATACCCTACCTTCTAACTTCCTCTCATTTGTATCTATTATTTTTTCATGTCATAGGGGAAGATTTCCTTCTTTCTATTCCTCTTTAGGGATGTTGCACTATCTTAATTCTATTCCCCTTCTCCCATCTTCAACCTCTCTTCTTTTCTATTAGTACCCCTCAAAGGTATTTCAATATTCAAAATTCCTTCATTAAAAACAACAGAAGACCCTTCTTCAAGTTTACTCTCTTCCCATCATCTCATTTTTCTCCTTTACTTTTATAGCTAAACTGTCCACAGTGGCTGTCCCACATCTCAATTTATCTCCTAAAGCAGAGTTTCAAAGTGTGACAAGGTATTTATCCCCTTTGATTTTCTCATACCCAAAGGTTGCTGAGTGGAACCTACTGGGATCCTGTTGAGCTAGGCCAGTCACGTCTGGCCTTGGGTAGTCTTCTCTGCTCAAATATTATCATTTTCTCTGTGTATCATGATGTGTATTTGAGAAGGACTATCCTAAGCTCTTCTCAATAGCTGGGTCATGTGGGTTTGCCCTTGCTACCCCAAAGAAACTATTCTGGCTATTGTGATGTTTCTCCCTTTTCTAAGTCCAATGGATGCTTTTTACTATCTATTTTCCTTCTGGGTAGCATCTGACCCGCCACTTTTTAGTCCCTCTTTTCTGTTATCACTCTTTCAAGATTTTCCTTCCACTTTTGACCATGTCTCCCTAAAAAATTTTTTTAACTGAAGAATTGTCATATGATATTATGTTAGTTTCAGGTATAGAGCATAGTGATTTGGTATTTATAAACATTATGAAATGGTCACCACAATAAGTCTAGTTACTATCTGTCACCATACCACACTGTTAGAATTTTTAAGAATTCAATGAATTCCTTATCTTCTGGCAGCCTCTTAATTTTCCTTAGGATTCAGTCCTCACCCTTTTCTTTTTAAATTTTACCCTCTCCCCGAGGTTTCAACCATTATTATAATCATTACTTCATTTTCCACCACTATCTAAAGACAAGTAACTAACTGAAACATGCATATGTGTATTTGTATAAACACAAGTCTGGAGAAAATATACTAAAAAAAAATTGGTTATATTTAGGATGATTTTCTACTATCCTCATTCCTTTCTTCCAAAATCCTTCATTATGGTTAAAGTACATGCAATTTTCTAACTACTTCTTGATTCCTTCTGCCTTTGTCTTTTTTTTTTTTTTTTAAAGATTTTATTTATTTATTTGACAGAGACAGAGATAGCGAGAGCAGAACACAAGCAGGGGGAGTGGGAGAGGGACAAACAGGCTTCCTGCCATGCAGGGTGCCTGATGCGGGACTCAATCCCAGGACCCTGGGACCATGACCCAAGCCGAAGGCAGATGCTTAACGACTGAGCCACCAGGCGCCCTGTTTTGTCTATCTTTTCGTCCTAGAATAGCTACTAACGTTCATTCGGTAATTACTATGTGTGAGGCATTGTGCTAAGTGTTTTATATATCCATGTCATTTAAGCCTCTCAACAATTCCAGTTGTTACTGTAATGTATTATTCTTATTTTAAACATAAGGACATTAAAGCTCGGAGCAGCTTAAATAATTTACCCCAGGACACAGGGCTAGTGGCCTGGGCTGCTCTCCTCCTGCAGTCTTCACCTGGCCACCCTCCATAATTCCTACTCATCTTCCATTACCCATTTATGTGTGATCTATTTCAGAGCCTTCCCTAACAACAAATCCATCCCACACAATTTGGGTTATATAACGAACCTTCTCCAGTTACCCAATGTATTTTACAAACTGCTCCATTAAATGTATGTTACATGAATAAATAAACCCTCTATGTGTAATTTAATAGTCCATGAAGAGGTGATTATACAGAAAGAGTATTATATGACATACATATTTCTCATTAAAATTAATAAATTGGAATTTTGCATACAATTAGTCTCTCAGAAACCCTAATCATAGGTTCATTTCTCTGAGCCTTAACACCTATGATGTTACTGAAAAAATTGAGTTTCTGGTCTTTTAGACTGGAGATCACTAGCTTATATAATTTACTAAAGTAATGAAACCCTATGAAGCTTCATGGAAACAAACAGCAAATGCCATTATATGTCTTTCAAAGTCAATATGCAAAGGCAAGAGTACTACTACATGTACTATATCCTTGATTTACCTCATTAGAATTAAATGGCATAGAGCAAAGGACACTGACATCAAAAATAATAAATCTGGTGGGAAATGATATGGCCACTGTGGAAAACAGTATGGAGGTTCCTCAAAAAATTAAATATAGAAACACCATATGATCCAATAATTAAACTACTGCATATTTACCCAAAGAAAATGAAAACACTAATTTGAAAAGATATATGCACCCCTTTGTTTACTGCAGCATTATTTGTAACAGTCAAGACATAGAAACAACCTAAGTGTCCACTGATAGATGAATGGATAAAGAAGATGCAGTACACACATACACACAAATATTATGCAGCCATAAAAAGGGATGAACTCTTGTCATTTGCAACAACATGATGGACCTACAGGGTATTACGCTAAGTGAAATAAGTCAGACTGAGAAAGACAAATGCCATATGATTTACTCATATGTGGAATCTAAAAAAAATGAATAAACAAACAAAAAGCAGAATCAGACCTATAAATACAGAGAACTGATGGTTGCCAGAGGGAAGAGGGATGGAGGGATAGGCAAAATGAATGAAGAGGAGTGGGAGATACTGGCTTCTAGTTATGGAATAAGTCATGGGAATAAAAGGTACAGCATAGGGAATATAGTTCATGATATTGTAATATCACTGTATGGTGACACATGGGAGCTATATTTGTGGTGAGCCACAGCATTAGAGATGTTGAATCACTATGTTGTATACCTGAAATTAATGTAACATTGTGTTTGAAGTATACACAAATAAAAAGAATTAAAAATTACTGCCATCCTTTGGAAAAATCAATCAATCTATGATTTTTGCCATTATCCAGCTGTGAACAAACCATTTACTCTTTGAAAACCTTAGTTTTCTTATTTGCAAATAAGGAAATTAAAGAAAAAGGAATTCTTAGTCAAAAAGGAAAAAGACAAACATCGCTGTTATTAGCTGAATTGCATACCCCAAATTCATATGCTGAAGTCTAACCTCCAGTACGTGATGCGACTGTACTTGAAATGAGGGCCTTAAAGGAGATAATTAAGGTAAAAGGTGAAATGTGTGGGACATTATCCAATATGACTATTGTCCTTATATGAAGAGAAGATTAGGACACAGACAATGTGAGACCTTGTGAAGAGACAGCGAGAAGAAGGCCGTCTGCAAGTCAAGTAGAGAGGCTTCGGAAGAAATCAAACTTGCTGACACCTCTATCTTGGACTTCTAGCCTCCAAAACTGTGAGAAAATTAATTTCTGTTGTTTAAGTCACCCAGTCTGTAGTATTTTGTTATGGCAGCCCTAGAAAATCAATACAACTGGCATTTCAATACAACCAAAGCAGTAGTTCACATATGGTGAAGTAACTAGCTAGAACCAGCTCTCCTAATCCAAGGCTGTTTAAAAAGAGAACCAATAAAACCAAACCAAACCAAAACGAGAGAGAGAGAACCAATAAGTGCTATGTAATAACCCAATATGAAAAGGAAGACATATAGCTTATCTACTATACCAGGCTACTTAGTTTTATGTGTTCTAATTTTCACAATCATCCAACAGGGAGATATGACACACATACTGAAGTTAAAAATAAAATGAAAAACTCAGATAAATTACTGGGCTTCTTTCAAAGCCACAAAACTGGTACGTAGTAGACACAGGTTGTGAAACCAGATTAGTCTAAGGGCAACTTGTGCTCTTTTCAAAATACTATTCTGTTTTCACATATCTCAAGTAAACAGTGATATATACTAAAGGAATGTTGTGTGGCCATCAAAATGGTTAAGAAAACTCAAAAACTGATTGATAGCCTATAGATGTAAAATTTTCTTCTTTCTCCATTCTTAATATTCTTTTTTTTTTTTTTTAAAGATTTTATTTATTTATTTGAGAGAGAATGAGAGAGAGAGAACACCTGAGAGGAGATAGGGTCAGAGGATGAAGCAGACTCCCTGCCGAGCAGGAAGCCCGAGGCGGGACTCAATCCAGGGACCCCAGGATCATGACCTGAGCCCAAGGCAGTCGCTTAACCAACTGAGCCACCCAGGCACCCTCCATTCTTAATATTCTTAATTTCTTTAATGAGCACATATAGGCTAAAGATAAAACACAAGAACCCTTAAAAAAATAAAAGCACTGAAGTAAGCCAAAGACTAGAAAACAAACAGGCCCTTCTTTCAACTTCAATGATACATCCTTCTGCCATTAAAAAGGTATACAGGGAACCTTTTTAGGTTTTCTTAGGGACCCAGAATTTAAACTTACAGCACTGTGGTTTCAGATTATATTCTATTTTTCAGTGAATATATTTCCTAGCTTACCTTATGGCTTCTGAATCAATGTGCACAGGTGCAATTCTTTCCAACAGAAATTTGACCATCTCTAGAAAAGGATTTGTTGGCTGCTTAGGATTTGCAAGTTTTCGAGCTATTTCTCTCTATAGAAAGGAAAGATTTTACCGTAAGTATGATTTACTTTCATATTTTTCAAAATAAAAATAATTATAGGTATCAAAAGCATTTAAAGATTCAAAACCAGCAGAATCTGCTTTAGACCTGACTAAATTTCTGCTTTAGATCCTGACTAAAATTGTATACTCATTAAGTAATCAAAACAAAATCTGGACTGTGGGGAACAGAAAGGGGATGACACAGTATAATTTATGCCTTCTGTCTCATATTTCTCCCATGAAGTTATTGATTAGTAAACAATCTTTTTTAATGCTCTACTTCCAAAAAGTTAAAAATTTAAACTTTCATGGGTATGTCTTCAGTTTATTTCAAAATTTACTTCAAACTAATAACATAATGTTTATTAGTTTATTTCATAATAATGTCATAATATTTTGTTTTATTTCAGTTAATGATTTTTTTAAAGAGGGGAAGATTCGTAAGTATGTAATTATAAAGTTTTTTTTAGTTCTGGAAGAACATAGCTGATTTCAAACACAGTTGTATTACATCAAATATCTCCTACAAGGAAAACACATTATTGATGGAATTTCTAAAGAACATATTAGGACTTAATGATTATAGAACCTAATTCTCCCAAAGAAAAGGTTAAATTTACAAAATGCTGGGCATTAGGGAAAGAAGTTTAATAACAATGCTTTTAATTGAATATCTGTGATGAGTAAATGTAAATCTTGGCTGATAAGATAAAGCACATTAAAAGTGCTTTCCAAACTATAAAGCAATAACAAATAATAGTCATTTTATGTACTCTTTCCATAAAAAAAAGAAAAAAAACATTATATGTTCAGAGGGACAGGGGAAAAAGGAAAAAATTTCTACTGTAGTTTTCAGTGACATCCTGACACATATTAATTATAAAACCAATATTAAATTAGATACCATCCATGTCTGTTAATAGAGTGTAAGTCTCAGGAAAACTTCTTAGTCATTAAGATGCCTGATTTATTTTGCAAGCTGTAATTAACTGAGCAAAATTTTAGCATTTGAGAAAATAAAAGTATTTTAGTCAGTGCTCGGTCCTTACATACTTTGCTCTAACCAATAGATATACATTTTAAATCTGAATTTAAGTATGTTACTATCTTTTGAAATCAAATCTATTTTGTGCAGGTCTCCCCAAAAGGGGATTTTTCTATCCCTAGTATAAAATTTAGTTGCTTTAACCTAAGATAAAGTCAGTGATCATTTATTAACAAATAAACCTATTGGAAAATTGCTAGACAAACTATATAGTCAGTACTTTGGAATAGATTACTAAAAAAGGAAAAACTAGGCATTAGGAGAGACAGTTACAGTAGAAAAAAATAAAGGAAATGTTAAAGGGAAAAATAATTCAAAATTATCTAATCAGTAATAACAATATAAAATACACCTATGTACATAAACAATAACACTAGACACAATGAACTTTTATTTTAAAGTAGGCTCCATGCCCATCGTGGAGCCCAACATGGGGCTTGAACTCATGACCCTGAGATCAAGACCTGAACTGAGATCAAGAGTCAGATGCTTACGCAATTGAACCACCCAGGTGCCCAACACAATTAACTTTTAAAACCTGACGTTTTTGTATTCCAATATAACCTTACATTTAGGTAATCCCTCATAACAATATTTTATGTATGCAATATCTAGGTACTTTCTCATAACAACTACATGTGGTAAGATTCTTAAGTGATACTGGGGATTAGCAGCAAGCCAAATTAGTTTGTGACAACAAAAACCAACTAATTAGTTTGTAGCAACAAGTCAAGTTTCCTTATTTACACAAGAAAAAAAAATACCCACACATACTTCCAACGCATAAACAAGAAATTTTATAACTGAAAAGTAGTTGATAAAGCTTCAAACAGAAGTAATCATTTGTAATCTTTTTAGGAAATGACAGCAGAAAGAAAAAAAAAAAATTCTTTCTGCATCCCTGACAGTATTTCCAAAATTTCTCATCAACTATGGTAACACTGTAGATTCATACTACTACTGATATTTACTAATTACATAAATTGTTTAGTATATTAAGCACCCTTATGGAGTATCAAGGAAATAAAGAAACAGTCCCTATTTTTTTTTTTTTTTAAGATTTTATTTGAGGGGCGCCTGGGTGGCTCAGTTGTTAAGCATCTGCCTTTGGCTCAGGTCATGATCCCAGGGTTCTGGGATTGAGCCCTGCATCAGGCTGCCTGCTCTGCGGGAAGCCTGCTTCTCCCTCTCCCTCTCCACTCCCCCCTACATGGGGTTCCCCTTTTTTGCTGTGTCTGTCAAATAAATAAAATCTAAAAAAAAAAAAAGATTTTATTTGAGAACGCATGCGTATGAGAACAAGTGGGGGGAGGGGCAGGGAGATAAGCAGACTCCCCACTGAGCAAGGAGCTAAAGGTAGGGCTCTATCCCAGGACTCTGAGATTATGACCTGAGCCGCGGCTGAGCCACCCAGGTGCCCCAATCCCTATTTTAACATGCTTATAATTTATTAATTTTGTTATTACAAAAATAAATAGCTTAAAAATTCTGCATCTATATATCCTTTGTTCTTCATACATTTTTTCCTTTCTCATTTTGACAATAAAAACATTTGTTAAAAAAAATAGTATTCTTTCACATACAGTGTTCCCTCTCATATACTTCTGTTGTTTTCCTAATCAAATGTCTCCCAAGAGGATTTAACATTATCAATATTTTTCGTAGCTGGAAACAGTAAACTAGATAAAGCAATTTCTCACAAGAAGCAGTTTCTAAAGGTTTAACTTTCATGTTACAGTGATCTGTTGTTTTTGGTTCGTGTGTGTGTCTGTGTGGTGGGTTTCCCCCACCAATAAGCAATTCTCTGGACACCAGCAGGATGTTATAATTCAGCTCAATTCTGACACTGTCTACCCCGAGGTAGCATCAGTTCCCACAGGTTAAGAGTTCAGTCTTAAGAGACTGTTTCCCCCCAAACCTCCAGACATCAGTTGTAAGCCCAGGTTGTTACCTATACTCCTGACCAACCGCCTGTAAATCTAGATTCCCACGACCCCCTCCTTCCTTGGGTCTGATGAACTTGCTAGAGCAACTCACAGAATTCAGAGCAAAATTTACTTACCAGATTACTGGTTTATTATAAAAGGATACAGATCTAAGAACAGCCAGATGGAAGAGATACATAGGGCAAGGTATGTGGCAAGGACAGGGAACTCCCATTCCCTCTGTGAGCCTGCCCCTCACCCCAAATCTCCACATGTCCACAGACCCGGAAGCCTCTCTGAATCTTGTCTTTTTTAAGTCTTTAATGGAGGCTTCATTACATGGGTTTGATGATCAAATCATTGACAACTGGTGACTGAACTCAATTTCCAGCCCCTCTCCCCTTCTCTGATGTCAGAGGGTAGGATTGACAGTTCCAATCCACTAATCATGTGATTGGCTACACAGGGAACCACTCCCCACCCTTAGCTGAGCTCCCAAAAGCACCTCATTAACATAACAAAAGACACTGTTGCAGCTCTCAGCACTTAGGATGAGTTTTAGTCCTGTGCCAGAAATGGGGGACAAAGACCCAATATATATTTCTTACTATAAATCACATCACATCTTGTATCATTCTCACTGAACCATAGAAAGGTTAAATGAAAAGAAAACAGGAAGCACTTGATGACTGTTAATAAATAGCATAACGTAAGTTAGCATCTCTCTCCCCTTTCGTTCTTTTCTTCCCTACCTCCTCCAGGAACTATACCTATGCTAATATATATGAACCAGCCTTAAATTTCAGACTTCTAAACACAACTGCTGCGAGGCCACACATCGTTATCTTCTCCTACCCTTCAAACATCTTCTCTGATAACCAATCACTCAAACTAGAAATACAGGAGTCATTCTTGATGTAGTGGTCTAATCCCTACTCATCCTTTAAGATTTGATTCAGGAATCCCTTATTCTAGAATAAGCTATTCCCATTTCCACCCCTGCCTGGGACGGCTGCTGTTCCTTTGTGTTACCAAAGTGCATGATTCTATCAGAATACTTACCACCCTGTATTCTCTATTGAGATATTTGCCTGCCTCTGTCATCTAAACTGCAACCGCAGTGAGAGACCATGTATAATACAATTTACTAAATTACGCAGTGAACTATAATGGTGTAGACTTGATCAAGGGACAACCCAAAGTTTGGCCTTCAGAAGATACAATGCATATTCAGATAACCTTGTAGGGAAGGGTTTTTTAAGGTGTGGTTCATGGACGACTTGTATCATAATCACTCTGAGACTGTTAAAAAGATGGAGATTAAGGATCCCTCTCTACTTATTTTAAGAATTCCTAGTGTTTGTCATAAATATGTAACACCATAAGAATTACTTTTCATTCACATCTTATAGGGCAGTGCAAGGGGTCTTGTATTAGGTCATATATAAAATTTCATCTTATCTTATTCTAACATATTATGAGGTTGATAATATTTATAGATGAAGAAAAGGAAGCTCAGAAATATTGAGTAACAGTCACAATGGCAATAAATGGTCTAGCTGAAATTCAAACCTAGGACACTCTCAAATGCTCAATTAATAAGCTTCCTTTCCAGGAATTTAGGTCATAGGGAGGTGTTAGAGCAAAAAATAGCAAGCAGAGCTCATGCTATGGCAAATATGTGATCCTTCTCTAGGACCAAGGTGTGGAAACTCAAAACCTGAAGTCCAAAGGAAAAGCAAATCTATTCGGCACATATCATAATAGACTGCTCATCCTCTCTTACTATAGCATCATGGTGTATGTATTAATCCACAGTATGTGTCTATTGTAATTCCTTGCTCAAAGTATTTGATCTCTATTCCGACAAATTCTGTTACTGAGTAATGCTCACCTCTTGAGAAGAAGTGACTGTCATTTAGAAAAAAAGGAAGTGGTAGTATATACACATTAGCAGGGGACAGAGAGGGATTCTCAGAGAAAGAATGAAAGCTATATAGAGCGACAGAAACTAAATTTTATGTTTGTATACTTCTTTATTCTTTTCTTCAACTTCAGAATGAAACTGTCAGGAAAAGAGGAATGTGATACTAGAGGGTATATATAACTAGTACCAGCAACCCTTGCGGAGAAAGACAAAATGATATAGATATTCTGGAAAACAGCAAAAACTCTTCTAACAGTGGTCATTTTCCAGAGTGTTTAAAGGGTATTATAAATCCTATTTTATACTCAAGAATACATAGATATGTTAAATAATGTGCTCAGAATACACAATGTTAATGTAAAAGCCAGAAATTACTGTGAAACTTCCACCAAATAAACTAAAAAACATGAATAGCAGAAATTTTTTCTTCTAGAAAAGAATTCTATTAGCTATTCTGTGGACCATTACTTAAAATATTTTCAGAATAACTCCCTCCCCCCCCCCCCCCCCAAAAAAGTATCATTACCATGCCCTTTCCAGTGCAACTGTGGTCCTCATCTCTACTTTCTTGGTTGCTAAAATCAGGAGTGCTGATTGGCTGCACTGCATGGCTGTGGTATTCATCCTGAGATATTTTGGTTACAAACATCTGTTTTGCATATACTTTTTGGATTTGGAAACTCTTAGATATTTATGGTCTGACAAATATTAGGAATTCATGTTATTGCCATTTTCCCAAACTCACGCTCAATTTCTGTTTTCTCAGACCAAAAACACCACTTGATTGTTCTTTCTCAAGGTCATTTGTTGAGCAGTACTCAGTTTGTACTGGATCTTCCTACAAACAATGGAATATATACAAAAAACACTATTGAGGACCTATGAGATCTAGACTCTACCTGCAGCTCAGCCACTATCACCAGCTATAAAATACTGGACGAGAAACCTTAAAATCCAATGTCTTTATTTGTAAAATGAAGTGGTTAAAACAACTCTTTTTTTTAAAAGATTTTTATTTGAGAGAGCGAGAGCGAGTGAGCAAGCACACGCATGTAAGCCAGGGGAGGCACAGAGGGAGAGGAAGGGAGAGGGAGAGAGAGGGAGAGGGGGGGAGAGAGAGAGAGAGAGAGAAAGAGAAAGAGAATCCCAAGGGGACTCTGCACTGAGCGCTGAGCCCGACATGGGGCTCCATCTCATGACTCTGAGATCGTGACCTGGGCCGAAATCAAGAGTTGGACGTTTTACTGACTGAGCCAGACAAGTGCCCCTACACCAACTATTTCTAAGGTCTTCTCAAAATATTTCATTCTATGACCCAATTATATTAGTAGAGACCCTGTAGGACACAGTACTCTGGAACTAGAATCCTAAATGCCAAAGACATAAATGCAACCTTTAACTGTTTTCAGCAAACCACCCAGCACTTGGCATATCCTCATCCCTAGACCCAAGAGAAGAGTCCACTGTTCTCTTCCCTAAATTAGCTTTCCCTCTTCTCTTCCTAATCCTTTTTTTTAAAATCCACTTAGAGACCTAATATCCCTAGAATGAGTAAAAAAAATACCTATTCCATGCTCTCAAACCACTTCGTATATACATCTATTATAGTCCTCACCCCTTTAACACACAAATAATTATTGCACTCTAATTCTTTTTAGAACAAAGTTAGACATAAATATCTGAAATAATTTTCCTTTCTCTTATTCAGCTCTGTAAGCCTGGTCACAAACATAATAGTTGTAACATACGTAATACCATAGAAATACAATTTATTTAAATCCTAAAGGTCAGTGCTGGGCCAGGTATTAGGATATATATACACAGATACATACACAAAATCTTCTAACAATCCTATGAGTTTCTTAATGTTTATAGATGAGAAAAATGAGGCTACAAAATATTGAAGAACTTACTAAAAAAGGTCACACTGATAGTAAATGGTACAGCTGAAATTCAAACACAAAACTCTCATAAAATGCTGTATAAATGAATGGATGAAGTTTTCCTTCCTGATATTTTCAGTGAATACTGGTTTTCTATAAAATAAAGAATCCAGGAATAGAATGAAGACAAAAGCCTAAATAGGAATTACCTTATTTATAAATGCATATATGGCAATGTAACTGTTGCTAATTTATTGACAAGGGTTATTTCCATGCTAATACATGAGTGAAGAAAATGCATACACACATAAGCATTTAGAAAATTCTATTTACTTAACAAACGTCTACTAAATACAAAGCATACTGTTTTGCTCAATTCCTAGGACCAAACTCCCTGGCTTAGTTCTCTAGTGTTTTTCCTGGAATTTGGTTAAGCAGTGGTAAGAGAGCTAAGCTGACCACAGATATACTCCTGGGTAATTTAGAGTTCACAATATTGTTAAATTAACACAAATAATTTATGTAAAGCAGACTTTAATGAAATATAAATTTCAACAAGCTAAGCTAAAAGAACACATGTAGAAGTATAATTTACTAACCACACAAACATCTGCCTGTTTGCATGAACAGGTTGGGCTGATTAATAACTCCAGCTGAGACCGCAATTTCTCATCATCACCGAGAACCTGGTTAAATTTCTTCACAAAATCTTGTGCTTTCCCAGGGTCAGGCAAATTCTCTATAAAATTGAAAGAGAATCAGTATTATAAAATAAAAACTACTATACTAAACTAAAAGCAAGTGGTCTTAAAAATTATGCTGAGCTATCAAAAAACAATCAGCCTAACTGGTTCTTAGAAATAAAATTAAGAGGATTATTTTCTCTTACTTAGTATTAAATTGATAGTCCCATTATGTAAATTGTCTGTTTTGATGTTTATTATATACATATGGAGTGAATAAACAAACTCACTTGCTATGGTCATCAGTTTTCCAAACATGGCAGAACAGTTAGCCTCTGACTGAAATTTAAAACAAAAACAGAAGTCATGTTTGCTACCAAATTTCTGTAAGAAAATCCAATTACACATTTTTAAAGAAAAAAAAAAACCCAAAACAAAACAAAAAACACCACACACTAAAAAAAAAAAAAACAACAAAAAAACAAAACAAAACAAACCAAAAAACACCACACACTAGCCACCAGAAAATCTACGCCCCAAGTTGGTAACAAAGAATTGTGGAGTAGCGACAACTACTAAGTTAGGACAAACAGAAGGAAAGGTGATGTCAAAAAGAGGTTTTTAAAAATTAAAAAGGAGTAACATAACTTCCATAGGGAAAACATCTTGCCAGAAGACTGAACTGAAGATAACTGAAACAATTATGGTTATCAAAATTACTGTGAAGCGATACATCAAAGAAAATTAACTAAAAATGTGACAAGTAGAAAAAAATTTCTTCCTGAAGAGTTCTATTAACTATTTTGTGGCCTATTACTTAAATAACCTCAGAATACCACCTGCCTCCCAAAAAGTAATTCTGTATAGTCCAGCACAATAAAGTTATTACCTTATTACTAAATTTGTATGAAATTTGAATAATTTGGATCAGAAATTGGTAAACTATGGTCCTATGGACCATCTGTTATTGTTCAAGTTTTGCGGAAACACAGTCACATTTGTTCACTTACATATTGTCTATGACTGCTTTTGCAATTTTATAAAGGCAGAGTTGAGCAGTTCACCAGACTTTATGGCTGGTAAAGCCTAAGTTTTTACAATCTGATCATTTACAAAAAATTTTGCCAACCCTTGCTTTAGCATCAATAGATCCTTGAAGGGTCTCTGTCTATAATTTCCTAGTTAAGAACACTTATTCTAGTAGCAAACACACTTAGAAGTATATTAAGAAATTATTCAAGTTTCTTTCCCCCCCATCTTCCAGAAGACACTGGGCAAAATTTTTTTGTTAATTTGACTTTGCCATATTTATAGAACTGGTACCTAAATTTGATAGTGACTACATTGAAGGGCCCAAAATCATGGAGTAAAAAAAAATCATGATTTCTCATAAAATTTTATCTGATGTTTAATTCTAATTATTTGAAAATTGATGAACCATGTATAAATTCTTAGTATCTGAAATGATAAACTAGAAATTACCATTTCTTTGTTCATACTAGAAAATAAGATTTTGTTATATTCATTTACAGTTAAAATTTAGCTTGGAAAACTAGAGAAATTATGTGTAACCGACATTTGGAAAACACTTGAAAGTTTTTACTTGCTTCATTATGTGTAATTACAGAAAAATTGAACGATGACCATAACAAACTATTAATTTAAACAAATCATGAACCTACTGTAGGTTGCTTGTGCAAATCCAATAGTTCTCGTACATGACTTCTAAGCATGTTCTGACACTTCCACATTTCATTGAGAGCTCTGTTAAGTTATAAATATGAAAAAGATATGTAATATAACAATCTGGTAATTATTCAACTTTACTACTTTTCTTGTTGCATGGGATAGATACACTATGCTTCTACATCTACCTAAAATTTTAAGCACCAGCACTTATTTATAGGATTAAGACAGGTTAGCTTAAAATAGTATATAAAAAACTTCTTATGAGAGAAAATATTTGAGAAGTTTAGAAGGATGAATAGGATCTTTCTCGGTAAATGGGGACTGAAAGGCATTTTTTTTAAAAAAAGATTTTATTTGAGAGAGAGAGAAAGCAAGCTTGAGCATGAGCAGGGGGGAGGGGCAGAGAGGGAGAAGCAGACTCCCTGCTGGGCGGGGAGCCCAATGTGGGGCTTGAACCCAGGACCCTGAGATCATGACCTGAGCCAAGGGGAGACGCTTAACGGACTGAGCCACCCAGGCGCCTGGGGACTCAAAGACATTCTAAGCAGGGGAAACTAGAATGTTCCGGTACCAAAAAAAAAAAAGATAAAATGTCATCAAAATGCCTGGGATAGGTAACTTAAACGTTTTTTTACAGATTGGAGCACAGAGTGTGAATGGAGTAGCATCAGGAAGCTGGAACATACTGCAGAAAAGGATCAGATCATAAAGGCATTTTCATGGCAGGCTAAGAGGTATTCATGAAGGGCCATAGAAATAAACTTAGAAATGATGTAGATTCAAGACACCAAATTTAACTTGAGTGTGTTTATTATTCTACACTTCTTTCTCTCCATGAAAGCAGATTTTCTTCTCTCACAAACCCAGTCCATAATTCCAGGTGCCCAGAGGGATCTCTGAGACATTAGTCTATGTTGGAGTATTATTTGCCAATATTTTGAAATATAAAGAGACCAAAACCTTAGGCTAGGGATTTACTACGTAGGGTGAGCATTAGGAATTACCTGAAAATTAAAAAAAAAAATGATGGCTAACGCCTCCTAATATAATACACTAAGGATACAACGTTACCTCTGTAGAATTTCTGCTGAAAATGCATAATCCCAATCTAATGAGGAAACACTGGATGAACCCGAATTGAGGAAATATTCTACAAAATTGGACTGGACCATGCAATACTCTTCCCCAACCATCAAAGTTGTAAGAGACAAAGACTGAGGAATGGCTCCAAATTAAGAAACTAGAGACATATGACAATGTAATATACAATCTATAATCCCAGAAAAGAAAAAAAACCCATAAAGCACATTATTGGAACAACTGAGGGAACTTAAATACACATTAGACAATAACATTGTATCAATGTTAAATCTCTTGATTTTGATAAGAGTACTCTGGTCATATAAGAGAATATCCTTGTTCTTAGGGAATATACACTGAAATATTTAGGGGTAAAGGGATCTAATGTCTGCAAATTACTCTCAAATGGTTCAGAAGAAAATATTTATGTAGGGATAAAGAAAAAGTATATGCAAATGGCAAAGTGATAAAGCAAATGATGAATCTAGGTAAAAGTGCTTTGTACTATTTCCGCAACTTCTCTGTAAGTTTGAAATTATATGGAAGTTAAAAAACAAATACATAAAATATAATATACACATATAATAATAATACACACACACACACAAGCTGAGGTTCTTTTCAGAAGAATCAAAATTCTTAGTGACGGGACGTGTTTACGTTTTTTTTTTTTTAAGATTTTATTTATTTGACAGAGAGATAGAAGAGCACAAGCAGAGGGAATGGCAGAGGGAGAGGGAGAAGCAGACTTCCCGCTGAGCAGGGAGCCTGATGCGGGACTCAATCCCAGGACTCTGGGATCATGACCTGAGCCGAAGGCAGACGCTTAACCATCTGAGCCACCCAGGCGCCCACGTGTTTACTTTTTTAAAAAGCTTTATTACAGTGGAGTGACCACACATCCTAGTTGGCCTGGGACAGTTAAAGTTTATGCCAATTGCCTAATCAAAAATATTAATAGTGCCTTTCTGTTTCAAAAATAACCCGGTTCGAACAACCAATCACATGGTCATTCTACACAGAGTGATCTCAATATACTTTCCTGATTAAGAAGCAGTATTTAGTTCTTAGGATTAATATTGTAAAGCTCCAATAGTGTAATTTAGATCCCTGTGAACAGGTAGACAAAAGTAATTTTGACATGGGGATTTCTTTGAATCCCTGAAACTGTATTATTGACTCAGTTGCCAAATATGTCTATGCATATAGGATTATTTTTTGCTTTTAATTTATCTAAACTTATAAATTTTTCTGTATAAACATTTATCTAAGGTTCTTTCTTCCTTGAGAGAGCATGTGTGAGTGCGAGGGGGGAGAGGGGGGTAAAGGGAGAGAATCTTAATCAAGCTCCATGCCCAGCCTGTGGCAAAATCTGAACCAAAATCAGGAGTCGGACCCTACTGACTGAGCCACCCAGGCGCCCCTGAGGTTTTTGATTCAACTAGAAGAAGCAACAACCCTATCAACAATTAGATAAGGTAATTTTATAAAATCTTTAACTCCAAACAATCATTTAAAAAGTAACTTACTTGACAGCATTTGGATCCAAACTAGCATATAAGTAATATAAGCATTTCATTCTCTCTTCTGTTTCCAGGTTGTGGGGGACAAGATACTGTGCAAAGATTTTCTCTACCAACAGTCTATGAAACAAAAAAATCCCAGTTACAATTATTGTTATTTTCAGAAGCAATAGCCCTTTTATATTTTAACCATCTCATGCAAAGATACCAGACCTATGTGTGTAAATACAATGGAAAAGATTAGTAGGTGACCGGTTCCTTTCCTTGGAGTATGATTTTTATTTGATTGCTGTTGGTTTTGTTTTGTTTTTGAGTAATTTCTGCGCCCAATGTGGGGCTCGAACTCATGAAATCACGAGTTGCGTGCTCTACTGACTGAGACAGGCAGGCACCCTGGAATATAGTTATTTTAAAATTTAGAGCTGTGGTTGCTATTTGTGGCTTTACTTTCTGTCAGTATGGAATATTTGTTCTAAAAGGGTTATACGTTATCCCTAAACACAGGGTGCTAGGCTGTTCCAGCTATTCTTCATCAGTCCTGAGGGATAGGAAATTACTTAACACTACATATAAAGCTACGATCAAGAACAGCTAATTCTCAGAAAAACAAAACAAAACAAAAAACTCAAATCCAAAACCAAAAAAACCCCAACACACACACACACAAAAACATTGACTTCCTCCAATTACAATCCAACTCCTTTCCCATGTCGTCATTTAATAAAATCAGGGGGATCTTCCTTAGTATTACTTCCCGAAAATTTAGCTTTTCCTGTGCACATCTGATCTCTCTTCTCTCCACAGTTTAAATTCCTTAACGATACTGGAATAACCTTCTTGCTAAGCTTATATTTATTATTCAGAACCATCAGAGTAAGACAATACAAGAAATCCTCATTAATCAACGAAATACACAGCCAGTGATGCTGAAGTAATCAGTCTAATTCTATCAAGCATTGCAAAATACTTTGCAAAAACCAAAATCATTACTACAACCCAATATAGAATTATAAGTAACATTCAAAAAATGGTAACAATGTAAGTCCTTAACACAAGAAAAAAAAATTTGTAACTAAATATGGGGATGGATGTTAAGTTGACATACTGTGGTGATCTTTCCCCAATATATACAAATATAGAATTATTATGTTATACACCTAAAATTAATGTTATGTGTCGATTATACCTCAATAAAAAAACACCATAGTACTTCCTCTATTGATACTTACAGTGTTGCAAAAAAGTAAAAATAATAATTAGCAGTTACTGAATAGTCCCATATTGACAGGCACTGGGTTAGGGAGCTTTACGTTCATTTTTTATTTAATCCACATGACCATCTTGCATGGAAAGCTTTATTATTACTTTTTAGATAAAACCCAAGGTGCACAGAAGTCAGTTGTGCAGAAGCACACATCTAATAAGGGGCAGAATGAACATTTGGTCTCTGGTCTGACTCCAAAGTCCATACCTACTTCACTAATGATGCTACTTGACAATTTGTGTCAGAGTCTTATTTAAACATAGAATGTATAAATATGCAGAAAGTGACTTCCAAATTTAGAAATTAAAAAATTAAAAAGTATATTATATGTCAAAAAGTTAAAAGCACTTTTATATTCAACCATTCTACCAACATGTCAGACTCACTTGTCATCGATGCTATTCTGATAATAAATATGCAAAAGCTTGTCTTTTATCCAGCTGACTTTCTCTGCAGCTTCCTTTCCCGCTTCACCATGAAGGCAGTATTTCTTATAAAGCTGAGCCAGACCCATCATAGCTTCTTTTCTTACTCGCCACTAAAAAGTATAAAGTTTATTGAATGAGTGAGATACCAAACTTTAGTATACTAATCTGCAAAAACTGGCATTTCTTCACTAGGTTTTACAATCATATGTACATAAGCTGGCATAGTATTTATTTTCCTAAGAAGCAACAAGTTGCTTTACCAACAATTTTGAATACATATATATTTATAAATCAGACTATTTTAAAAATTGTTGAATGCAAATACTATTAAATCACCTACCAATTTTTTATTTCACTCATAGCCAACCAATCGGTAGTAAATCTTACAGATGATTTCATTAGATTCTGTCTAAAAAAATTTGCCCAAGTTTTAAAAGTGATAAAAGGTAAAAGAGAAAGTGTGATTTACTCTGCAACCAAAAGCCCTATCATCTGGAATATTTTATCCTAATTACATTCCTTTTGATATTAACTCAGAATAAAAACAAAATTTAGTATCAAGATCCTAGAATTACGAAGTTGGAAAGAACCTTAGTGATCATTTTAAGTGAACTTCCTTACTTTATAGATTAAAAGGGCAAATGATTTACCTAGCCACATACTAGTTAGTGGAAGAAGACTCTTTGGGACTTCCAGAGACTGGAACAGTTTGCTAGGAGGAAAGAAAGGTGGCAGGAAGAAGGTCGATAAAAAAGGAGACTATAAAAACCTACAGTTAGAACCATGACAGTGAGGTAATAAAAAAAAAGATATTTGTCTCAATAACAAATCAGAGCATACGATCTTTGGTTTATTTACATTAATATTTCTTTTTTGTATAATTTCTTCATTTTTAGGCTATTTAGATGGAATGAAACTTTGTTCCCATATAACAGGTAACAGATGCCTTTGACATTTCTCACATGAAACCAAAGACTGTAAGCAGTGAAATCTAAGATTAAGTCCTGTCCCCACATTTTATAGGGGAGAAAACAAATTTCAGAAAGGCTATACACAAGGTCATCTAATTTACTGCACCAAAATCCGGGTCCTAAAAAATATCCAATAGATGCTATTTTGACCATATCATGCAGCCTCAGGAAGATTCATTTATTCAACTCCTTCAGAAACTACAAACAAACATTAGTAGAAGCAGGAGTGAAAAGTTTCTAAAAGGAGGAAATAACAAAATTGGTAATACCTTAAATTGAGTGTGTGTATGGAGGTGGGGGCGGGCGGGGAGAGAGTTACCAGCTAACTACTAGGTAGAGCATCATTTCATTTAAATTAAAGCCAAGAGGAAAAACTTGTTCAAAGTTATAATCACTGATACAGTTGGACATGTTAAACAGTGCCCACATGACATATTTGCCTCCTCTAACAAAATATTTAAAAAGAACTTAAAGAATACCTCTTGCTGTATTTTATAACCAAGAAATATAATTTTACTCTGAAACTACTGCTAAAGGACACTGCCTTTTTTTTTTTTTTTTTACGATTTCATTTATTTATTTGTCAGAGAGAGTGAGCGTGCACAAGCAGGGGGAGCGGCAGGCAGAGGGAGAGAAGCAGGCTCCCTGCCGAGCAGGTAGCCCAATGCGGGGCTTGATCCCAGGACCCTGGGATCACGACCTGAACCGAAGGCAGATGCTTAACTGACTGAGCCATCCAGGAGCGCCAACGACACTGGTTTTATGAGGACAGTGTGTTTTCAACCATGCCTCAAATAAAACAGCACACTGCAAAGGTAACTTTTGTTAAAGATGTTAATAAGATGTCTAATCAGCCTGCCTTGCATGTCTGTCTCTTGCTTACAGTTGATCCTATACTTAGCAACAGCTTTTGTTGTTCTTAGTACTACTCTTCCTTATCAAACCATGTTTTTAATTGTGACCACAGACAGGAAATCACACAAAAAGGTATCTGAACATACAACTATCACTTCAGCCCTTAGCTTGGTACAGCACTACAGAAGTATCACTTTCATATAAAGTATGATATTCTTTTAGTCCAATGACAGATCCAGCTAAGTTTATACAACATGGTCACTTCTGAAAATGTTAACTGTAAGAAAAAAACATAGGTGATCACTCACTATTCTTTTGAAACTAGTAAGTGAAAAGGTAAAATAAAACTTTAGAAATAATTTCTATTGTCTTTAGCAAACACTTTATTTTTTTAAGATTTATTTGAGAGAGAGCGAGAGAGAGTGAGAAACAGCATGAGAGGGGAGAGGGTCAGAGGGGGAAGCAGGCTCGATGCGGGACTCGATCCCAGAACTCCGGGATCATGACTGAGCTGAAGGCAGTCGCTTAACCAACTAAGCCACCCAGGCGCCCCTAGCAAACACTTTAAATATAGTAAATTACAAAAGAATAAAATTCCTCAGATTTTACCCGTTTATCCAGTGTTCTTTCTCTTACAAAGCCCAGTAGCTGATCATTTACTAAGGCAAGGTCTCTTTTGGCAGCTGTTATTATAGTAACAATGACATCATGACGAATAGCCTCTTCGGGATCATGTGATCTAACTTTCAAATATTCTGTAATAAGAGAAAAAAACTAAAGCTAAATGTTAGCTATGTTATTTGTCATGTTCAGAATGACAGAAAAGACTAATGCTTTAGGCTTCTATCCATACTGAAACAATGTTTGTAAAATGTGGCATGAATTAAAATCATTTTATTTTTGAGGTGGCAATACCCTATAGAATCACAAAATAAACTATACCACGCTATTTATTACTGGAGTCACATCTTAATAAATAATGTATTTTACCTCAACTGTTCTGGATAAGTCAAATCACAACAAAATATCTGATTTGTATATTCAGAACTTAAGTTATAATACAAATTAAAAGAATTAAAAGAAAAACAGTAAAAATGCTTACAGCAAGTTTGCCGACAGGTATAGTTCTGTACATTACACAATATAAAATACAGAATAACATTCTATGACCTCTAAAAAAGATTCCTAAATAATTACAATACAAACAAAACCAAAACAAAAAAATGTTTCTTTTTTGGTAAACAGCATTTTGATAAAAGCATTTATTTGCCAATACCAAATAAGCAGGTTCAAACGCTTTATGTTCAAGTGAAGAATGAGAAATTCTAGTCTACTCCAGGAGATACTCACTTTCTGGGTTATTATTAGATTATGTTACTATATTTAATTATCACATAGGTATAATGATTTGTGCCCAAACCCAATGTCTACTTCCTCAAACTCTGATTTCCAAAAAAATTCTAAAAGATTACAGTATGAAGTTTTCAAGTGTAATTTTATTGTACAAACATGAAATCATTTATCAGTCCAGGACTGATAAAAATCTGAAATAGTGCCAGAGTTAAAACTTATTCAGATACTAAATTTAAGGTCAAAGGCCACATCTAAAATATATTTGTGTGATTACTCTCATATTTATAATAAATCAGCCAGCTTACCTGTGAGATCCTTTGCTAAATCTGGGTGATTCATTAAACAGTGACTGGCAAATTTCACACTTTCTAATCTCACAGGAACGTGAATGTCATTAAATCTACATGGAAAAGGTTGCTAAAGATTAGTTGTAAGGCAAAATAATTATTTTAAAATAAGGTATATCTACAGTAGATAAGTGCCTATAAACAACAGTTACTGATTAAAAAGTGTGTTATTTTATAATGACAATATGTTCTTAAGGGAGAATATAAAAAGATAATGTAGTTCCAAAAAACATTTTTGAAAACAGAATGTTTACCATGCTAAAACAAACAAAAGTATAAACATATCCCCAACCCAAACTACATACTTTGTAGAGCCCCAAATTTAAGAGCCTAATTATGACACAAAACAAAAAATAAATATTTGAAACCTCCAAAATCTACTTGAAAAAAGTTTATGGGGGAAAATACTAGAGGAATAAGAGGTAGAGAGCAAATCATATGAGAGGCAGATCCAGAAGTTCAAAGATAAGTTCATAAAATGCATGTTATGAAACTGCTTAAACAAAAAAGTTTCGTTTCCTGGGACGAACTTGTATTAAAGTACTCTTTTAAAGCTTGAGTATATTGTAAAAAAGCAATAAATATGAAACACCACATGCAGACCCAAAACTTCACATAATAAAGGTAAACTTAACAACTCTCAAATTTAAAATTTATTATGGGCAATTTAAGAAACATTTGTTAATTATAAATAATGTTTTTAAATAGCAAGAAATATTTTTATTTGTAATCTCATAAAATAACCAATTAAAAGTTATATAATAAATGTCTTTTTTAAAAAAGATTTTATTTATTTATTTGAGTGAGAGAGAGCACAAGCAGGGGAAGGGCAGAAGCAGACTCCCTGCTGAGCAGGGAGCACTATGCTCCAGGATCCCAAAATCATGACCTGAGCTGAAGGCCGATGCTTAACTGACTGAGCCACCCAGGTGCCCCAATAAATGTCTTAATAAATAAAAATAAAATAGTTAATAAATAAAAATTAAATCTTACTTTTTTCTTACTTTCTTATATAAAGATTAAAATTACAATAATTTTACTTTAATAAATCTTGCATTTAGGATTTATAAATTTTCTAATTGCCAGAGAAAAATGAAAACATTACAAAGTATCAAAACACTTATTGCTAAATAATTAAAGAAAATAATACAGTAAAACAGATACACTGGTAATATATCTTTGTTTCAATGAATTGGAGACTGATTAGAAATAGCAGTGAATGTAAAATTATGAATATAAGAAGCCTCTTTCAGTTGATTTAGTTTTTACAAGTAATTGTTTTGCTATAAACATCAAGGCAATCACAAGGACAGAATCACTCCTCTTGCTTATTGACAAGTATAGTTGCTTCATTCCAAGTTCTCATAAAATCAAGTTTAATTATCCAAAATAGTCAGCATTTACAGACCTTCAGAATGGCCTGTTCTGAGCAAATTAAGACTGTCAGTGTCAGAGATTTTTCAAATATTAAAATATAACTGACAAGGGGCGCCTGGGTGGCTCAGTTGGTTAAGCGACTGCCTTCGGCTCAGGTCATGATCCCAGGGTCCTGGGATCGAGCCCCGCATCAGGCTCCCTGCTCAGTTGGGAGCCTGCTTTTCCCTCTCCCACTCCCCCTGCTTGTGTTCCCTCTCTTGCTGTGTCTCTCTCTGTCAAATAAATAAATAAAATCTTTAAAAAAAAAAATTACTGACAAATCTAACTTGGGATTATTATAATGAATTTACTTTAAGAAAATTTCTAGGCCTACCTTCTGAATTAAGTGAATTAAACAATGATAAATCTAAAAGTTCTCTAGAATACTAACAGTAAAAACTGACTTTTCATGGTTTGAAGCAAGAAATGTGTAAATGGAATTCAAGAGGGAATTTGATAAATTTCATAGATTTTTCAACCTTACCATCAAGTTGAATAGATCCTAATAATTCTAAGTTCTTGAGAAGGAACATTAAAAGTTATCTGAATGAAGAGCAATGTTATTTTCAATTTCAAAATCATACCATAATACCAAATTAATTCATAACATACATCATTCAATTAGATAGCTACAGACCTAAACAATAAACACTAGTAAATGAATATACTGCTGGACTGAAAAATGGCATGGACTGGATCATTATGTCTTCAGTCTCATGATTTAAAAATCTTAATATGGAACATTCTCAGATGTTGCCTATCTATTCTAATGACATAATTGTAGCACAGAAAGATTAAAAAGTGTTATGTGGTAAATAATAAGCATTCTTCATAAAAAATCTGATCTACAATTTATTCTCCAAGAAAAACAGCAACACAGATACTAAAAAAAAAAAAACCACATATCAATTAAAGTTTTGATATGTGTGGTTTTAATCAAATGGACCATACTGACTGGCCTCCAAAACATAAAAGTTAGAATCCATAGGATTGTATGTTCTCTTACCGTCCAAGAAAACACTGCCAAAGAGGACGATTCTGTGTTGCCAAATCAGAATCTTTAGAACCAAATAATTTAGCTAAAAGTCGAACAACAGCTAATCGCTCTTCTCCATCATTGCTCTAAGGAAAAAGAGAAAATAAATGAGCCACAGTTTATTCATCAGATTACAGAAAACAACATGAATCATTCCTGAGAAGCTATAGCTTCATATTTCCACTTATATTAATGAGAACTTTAAAATATCATATGCTCTCATTTATAATGTGGAAATTGATGTGATTCCATGTCAGACTGTCTGGTTCTTTGTTCTTATTTCACACCCCCTCCAACTGCTAATTTATGCCTCCTTCACTGCTTGTTTGCAATCTACGCCCAGACATTGTAGAAATACGAAGATAATCATTCAATTCTAACATCCCCTAAGAGCTTAGAAAAAATTCTGTGAAGGGCAAAGCTGCAAATAATTCCCACCCTAATAAATTTTCTTTTCTTTCTTTCTCTCTCTTTTTTTTAAGTAGACTCCACACCCATTGTGGAGCCCAATGTGGGGCCTGAATTCACAACCCTGAGATCAAGAGTGCTTAACCAACTGAGCCCCCCCATCCTAGTAAGTTTTCTTATAAGAAATCTTTCCTGCCATTTGAGGCTCCAACATAAAATCATATCATTTAAGGTTTTGACATATGAAATTTTAATCAAGGATCCCTCTGGGGCACCTGCCTTCGGCTCAGGTCATGGTCTCAGGGTCCTGGGATCAAGCCCCACATCAGGCTCCCTGCTCAGCGGGGAGCCTGCTTCTCCCTCTCCTTCTGCCCTCCCCCGGCTCGTGCTCTGGCTCCCTCGCTCTCGCTCTATCTCAAATAAATAAATAAAATCTTAGGGAAAAAAAAAAAAAAGGATTTCCCTAACTTACTGGAGAACATAACACATGATTCAGGAAAACTCAGTTGTTTTTTTTTTTAAGATTTTATTTATTCATTTGAGACACAGAGATACAGAGAGAGAGAGAGCATGAGCAGGGAGAGAGGCAGAGGGAGAGGGAGAAGCAGGCTCCCCGCTGAGCCAGGAGCCCCATGTGGGGCTTGATCCCAGGACCCTGGGATCATGACCTGAGCCGAAGGCAGATGCTTAACCATCTGCGCTACCCAGGCGCCCCTGGGAAAACTCATCTTAATAGAAGAACAAGAATGTTAAGATCTAAAAGGTCAGCTAAACTGAACATTACAAAAAAATCAAAACTTAGTTTGAAGTTTTTTTTTTTTGATAAAGGCCTCCAATTTTCTTATCCTGTATCAACATATGCTATGAATTCTGTTTCAGTTTCACTAGTGATGTCACATCTTACTATATAAATTAAGTTATTCTGAAACCATGTGGTGTGTGAAACTTTAAAAATCACATATTCACTAGGAAAATAAAGGGAGTAACAAAAAGCAATTGCTAATTTTTTTCAAGCATTCATATACAACATGTGTCTAGAGTAATACCAGAAATCCAGTAAAGAAATATTCATGGAAAAAGACAGCAAGTTAAAAAAATAAGGTATATGGGATATAGTCTTTGTTATGAATATCTCATCTTTCAGGAATAGGGGTTTTGTGGGTAAAACAGGCACACTTATCAAAGACGTAAAAAAGAAAACTGTATCAAGCTTTAACATTTGTAATTACAAAACTGATTTTCTTTGACAAAGTTTTTCTCCAGCAATGCAGATTAGGACCTTTTAGTAAGTCCAATCAACTAACCAACATGATTTATTTTTTTAAAGAAAAATCAGTCTATCACTTAAATGTCAAAAACTAAAATAAGTGGAAGTTTTATTCTACTTGTGACTACTTCAGTGGTTTAGTGATTATTTCAAATGATGTGACATTTTATATCTATATTTTTAACTACTGAAACTGAGTGAAAACTCACCCTCCTACCTTTTTAAAATTTAAAATATATTCCTTGAGTGAGGCTGGAATATGATTATAGTGATGGTAAACTGATTTTGGTGCAAAAATCATTTGGTGTCTCTGAGGTCGTGTCTCCCTCAGTCCACATATAGAAACCTAGAAATCTAGTTCTCAATTCCTTCCCACCATCTATCATGGCAATCTTATTTAAGGATTGAAGAGGCGTGACTTTTCATATTCAGACTCTATGAAGAGATTGAGAGAAAATATTTTAATGCCTTACACCTAGAAATAATTTGGTATGGAAACATCTTTAGGCTGTTGTTAAAATAAACTCTTAAAAAATAAAACAAAACCTTGTTCTCCGTATTTTTCATATAACAGACTTTCTTAGAAGCTTAGTATAATGTCCTTTTATACTATAAATGACAAATATTTATAATAAAGACAATATGGACAATTCTTTATTTTTAATTTTTTTGGAGAGGGAGGGAAGGGGAGAAGGAGAGAGAGAATCTTAAGTTGGTTCCATGCCCAGCACTTGTGGGGGGGGTGAGAAGCAGACTCCCCACTTAGTAGTGGAGCCCGATGGGGCTTAATCTCACAACCCTGAGATCATGACCTGAGCTGAAAGCAGGAGTTGGATGCTTAACACCAACTGAGTCACACAGGTGCCCCCAATATGGACAATTCTTAACCATCATGTATATAAATGTTCAAAGAGTGTGAAGATTGGAGTTCTAATCTCAAGTCTGTTTTAACTGTGCAACTGGGCAAAAAATATTTCATCTTAAATTTTTCATCTCAAAAATCAAAACTATAATGTTGGTTCCTAACTATACCACAGTTTAAGGATCAAATAAGATACTGGATATAAAAAGCCTTTCACAAAGTCGAGAATATTAAGCAAATGTAAGCTGTTATCTCACATAGTTCAACTGGGGTAGGGGATCGAGTGTCAAGTTTTTCATATTTTTTGAGGACTTATGAATCCCTTGCTTAGTTGGCTATAAAAAATAAGATATGCCCCAAGTCATACAGTAAAATTTTTGTCCTTGATCTATACTATGGAAGGTTCATATAGTTATAATCAAGACCCTTTAAGGACTCAGTTTGAAATCTTTTGATGTTCTAAAGTATATCTACCTAATAATAAATACTATTTAATAAGTATGTATTATAAGGAATAATATCATTCTTCATATCTATTATTTGTGTCATTGTGTTTATCAGATATTTAACAACTAGGAGAGTTATAATTTTCCCATGTAATTCTCCTATTACACCCAGATGAGAGAGACTGTTTTACTGAAATGATTAAAAATGTATACCTTAACTAAATGTAAGAAGATAAATTGAACTCACATTTTCTTTTAAAGAGTAAAACAATATTTATCTTTTACAAAGTTATATATAAATTTTTCTCTTAAAGCCTAAAGAGCTTAAAAATTATAGTCAGTCCTACCTTTAGTTTGAATTCAAGCTGCGGCATGACAGATAATAATAAATGAGGATCTATTGCAAAAAGTTCCTGAATCAGATCAAATACATGTTCTGACAAATCACTTACTGATGATCTTCCCAGCACCAGGACTTGATTGAAAAACTAAAGGAGATATTAAACAAAAATAAAACATCCATTTCACTTAAAAACTTGGACAGATTTTTTTTTATAAATGTGTCTAAAAAAAGATATACTTAGGCATTACATATACAACTGAAGGGGATGAAACAAAACATTATTTCGATTACTAATATATGATAGAACAGTCACTAAAACAGAATAAACGTCTAAATATCTAATTATGAAAGTTTTCCAAATTAAGATAGTATTTCTAGGAATCTTCCATAAAAACAAAACAACTTTGATAGTTTATGTAATTCATTATAAAGAATTTTATAGAGAAATTTCCTTATAATAGAGAAATTTTAAAATCTCAATCTTTTATTTTCTGCCTTTTATTTATGTCTGACTAATTTTGCCATGAGTTTAGTAATAAAGAGTACTTAAAGGTGGGGGCTTTTTTTTTTTTTTAATACCCAAAGTCAAATATATTTTGACTCAGAGTATCAAGAGGGAAAAAAAGTGATGATACAAAAGCTAACTGGTGATTTAAAAGAATGCTAGAAAGAAACAAAGAGAATATCAAAAGCACAAATTAAAAGACACCTCCATTCCCTGCCAATACACAGACACACATAGGAAAAAAATATTAAATTTAAAAATGCTAAGGAGGCAGTTGCACATAACTGATGTAAGTATCTATTTTTGGTAGTATCATCAAACAATATAGTTCCTTTGAAGAGCAACATACATTAAAAGTTAGAAAATATTCATACTTATTATGGAGACCGTGGAAAAATAAAGTTTTAACAAGATTAAAAAATACACATATACAAAAATGATTATGCATAGAACACTAATTCTGGAAGGATATATTGAAAGTCTATTGGTAATGGTTATTTCTGAGAACTGAGAATAGGGTATTCAGAGTTGAAGAGAGACACTTTTCACTATATATTTTTTTGTGAAAAGAAACTTTTCTTTTACCATGTTTAAATATTAATTTAGTAATATAATACTAATAATTCATGCCATTAATATACTCTCACTTGGGTTTTTATATGTGGAAAATAATTCAACAATAGATAAATGCTACACTCAAGATGGTAACTATTAAAGGAAAACACTGAAAATATCTAAATGCAAGATAATAAGGAAATGGTTAGATAAATTATGGATATATATCAATTCAAAGAAACATTTACGGTCATTTATAAAGAAATAATTTCAAAATATAGAAATATACAGACAATTTAAAATTTTATATAGAGTATGTAAAAAAACAGGTGTGAGTGTGAGCAAATGTGCAATAATGGAATGAACAGCTATATTAGGAAGAATTATAAATCATTTTTTATTCTAGATTATTTATTGATTTTCTTAAGTTAAAAAAACTTAAATAAAGTAAAAAAAAGTATTTTTATTAATACACAACAGCTATTTAAGAGAGAAACAAAAGGGTTCAGAGGAATGACCTAGGAAAATAAAGGTAAAGAAGAAAGGAGAAAGTCAAAGAGATCAGCATACTCAGGAGATAAAAAGATAAATTTAAATACAAAGGCAGTGAAAGAGGGGTGGGAGTTGTAGACAAGTTTATATAAAATATCCTATATCTTATGCCATTTAAAAATAATGTCAAAGCTTATATAATTATTCTTATATAATACTGCACTTGGTCACATCTGGATACATCAGTTCTTTTATGTATTTGTTTTAAAGAAATGAAACTGTTTATAGGCTAAACAAAACTATATGTGAAAGGTCTCAATAAATTAATACAATGGATTAAGAATTATACAATTATGGAAAAAATATAAACAGAAATACATACATTGGCAATGCACGCCTCAATAGTTTGGACTGTCCTTTTCAATAAGACTTTTGCAAGGTCAAAGGACTGTTTATTTAAGTTCTGGAACACAATAAAAATATGCCAAGTTACAAATGAATTCATGAAATTTATGAGAGAGAGCCATGATAACACTATAATCTTCAAATCTCCGAACTATAAAGCAAAAAATATCACTGAACCCCATTCAAGGTTTTGCCTAATATTCTCTCGTCAAGTGGTCTTAAATGTAGAAGTTGCAAATAGCACTATAAATCAAAAACTAAAATATATTAGACAGCCAAAAGCCAAACCCCTTATTTTGTTTAGTTTTATTAAACTGAAAACAGACCTAAGGCTTTTTGGGTTTGTTAACTAATTTGAACTGCCAATTATACCCCTGTATCCTAAATGAATACACACACACACACACACACATCCTGTGTCATCCACCATCCTAAGTACTTCATTGTCTAATCAATGTGTGATCTAAGAAAGAGTACACCTGGAAAGTGTTCCAAGAAAAATACTTGGTCAATTAGATAGTTCTGAAACACTGAATACTGTGTTTGCTTCTCAAGATTCCCAGTGTCACTATAACAAATTAAAGGGTCTGAAAAAGGCCACAGAAAAGACATATTCAATTTTTAAAGACTTATTTGGAAATGGATTTCTTACCTATCAGCATCTCTAAACTCTGAAGTTTTGGACCAAACAGATTCATTCACCATCATCTCGCACCTCTCCCAAAAAGACACTAGGAAACCCTATACTCTAAGTGAGGAATAACAAACTTTTTATGTGAAGAGCCAGATGGAAATATTTTAGGCTTTTTGAGTCATACAGTTACTGCTCCAACTACACAATTCTGCTGTTGAGTGTGAAACAGCCACAGACAAAATGAAAATCAATGAGAATGGCTGTATTCAAAAAAACTTTATTTACATAAATAGGTAGTGAACTAGATTTGGTCCACAAGCCATAGCTTCTTGACCCTTGCTCTAAGATTTTATTCCACTGGCAAAAGGAAAGATTAACTCAAAATTAAGGCAACCTTTCTACTTCCTAAAACGGTATATAAATTTCCTAATCATAAAAATACTAACTAGAATATAAACACCAAATATGCTATCTAATTCCTCCTTGGTTTTCCCCTCTTATTTTGCCTGACATGTACCCCCCACCTTTGCCATACTTTCAAAATTTTGGCAAATTACAGATTCATTTGAATTAATAAAATGCAAATAATATTTGGAGGCAGAAGAACTTCTAATTAACTACATTATTAGGTTAAGTGTAATTAGATACACCATTCATCTAACATCTGATCACTGAACCATTACAGGAAAAGAGCAGGAGGGTAAGTATCAACAGTAAGGTATGACTGGGTACGTAGAGCTTGTGGAAAACTAAGTCCTTCAGTTTCTTAGGAAGAAGTAGCAGAAAGAGAAAAAGGAAACAGGGAGAAATATACAGCTGTGAATCATCTCTTTCCCCTTAACATTAACCATATAGTTCCTGCTTCTGCCCAAATCTTTTTCTGAAAATGCCCAAGAAAAATGGATTCTGAGAAGAAATACAATTCCTATGTCCCACATCTGTGTTACAAAGAAGGAAATACATTTTCCTTCCCCGCCCCCAAAAAAACCCAAAACAAAAAAAAAAACACAAAAAACAAACACCTAACTAAGACAGTACTCTTTCTAATTCCCACATTACATGTAAGTGGTAAAGGTGAAAGATTTTTGTGTTCCAGAAAATAGGAAGCACTACAGAAGAATGAAAATCTTCTACAATACATATTAATCAATAAATCTTCTAAAAATAATAATTTTAAGACTGATGTGTGTTATACTATTTTACTGGGGCTAGAAAATGATAGTGGGAATAATTATGTAAAATTACAAATTATTTTTCATATGTGTAGTACTATCTTTAAACATTAACCCTTAATATCTTCATATTATACAGACCTTATGTGCAGGAATGAGGTTAATAAGAATGGAGTCTAATAATTCTTGAGTAACTCCATCACCTTCCATGATGATAGAACTCATCAAGTCTAGCATGTGCATTTGTACCTTCTTATTGTGGCTATTGCTTAAAAAAAAAACAAAGAAGAAAAAAATCAGGCTTACAAAAAGAAAATTATACTTCCCAGTTTAAAACAACTATCTCAGATAAAGGAATTTTTACTTGAAGAATCCATACCAATTAATAGCAAAGAAATTTTGACTGCTCTATTTACTTTCTCGCTCTGCTGACTGTAACAACAGCTGTAAGGTATTGTTGTAAAGTATTTTACAAAACCAAAGACTTTTAAAATGAAATAAGTCACTACACAATTAGGATTCACACTGAGTTAAATTCAACCAAACAAAAACATCAACTTTAAAGAAAGGACATCTTTGCTTATATGTCCCCAGATTTCAAAAGGTGATAAAATTTTAAGAAAACAACAAAAAAGTACAAGATAATGATAATAGTTTTTCATCCTTTTTTTCTTTTAGATCTTAATACATTCCCCAAAATAAAACTATAAACACCAAAAAGCCCTCAACCAATACAAGTAATTTTTGCTATATTTGTCACTAGCGATTTTAGTTCACCAATACTGAAAATCAAAAGTCTGATAAAATTTTTATCAGAATTTATGACTAGAAGGTTCTGAAAATGCCATTTGGATATCTCACAAAGAATTTCAAACAAAATGAAAAGTCCACAAGGTATAAAGCCTAGAATCAGCTTTAGTCCTACTTCCTTAGCCAAGCCAGTGAAGAGTCAACTGTAGACCTCCTCAATAAATATGTCTCTACTGCTGATCCAGTACTCACCTAAAAAGACTGGCTATAAAACTGTTATAACTAGTAGAACATCTAGGTTTCTCTCCTTCTGACTGCATCTTTTTTTTTTTTTTTTTTTTAAGATTTTATTTATTTATTTGACAGAGAGAGAGAGACAGCTAGAGAGGGAATACAAGCAGGGAGAGTGGGAGAGGGAGAAGCAGGCTTCCCGCCGGGCAGGGAGCCCGATGCAGGGCTCGATCCCAGGACCCTGGGATCATGACCTGAGCTGAAGGCAGACGCTGAACGACTGAGCCACCCAGGCACCCCTCCTTCTGACTGCATCTTAACTAAAGACTTGAAATGTCCATTTTCACATTTATCAGATATATATATTTAAAGACAAATCAAGAGAAATGATACAATTTAATTATACAGATATAGGGATGTAGAAAAGTTTAAATCAAGACAAAATTTTAACATCATTTACGTATCCCTGAATTTTTAAAAAACCTGAAATAATGTATAAGAAACCTACTGAGCACTTGATGGTAAAATGCAAAGATGAAAATTCCTTAAGTTGGTGGAAAAATTCTCACATTAGATACACTGTTTCCCACAACTTTTAGAAAGATACCACTATTGCATGCCCTCTTCCAAATATCCTATTTACTATGGGCCAAGATCATGAAGGATCAACTATATAGTATTAGGGGGAATGTGTGTAAGGGTTAAAAAACAGAAATATTCAGCTTGATGCAAAAAAACTGAAGAGAGTATTTAACTCTCAGACCCAAATATACTTGGGGATAGGAAAGAACAAAGTGAAAAGATACAAAAACAGGCCAAATGATTTCCACAGGTTCTAGCCAAGATACAGTAACTGGGATAGGACTCACCCTCCTACCTGAAACAACTAAAAGACTGAACAAAATATATGAAATGACAGTTTTCAGACACTGAACATCATGCACATGTTGCTGAGAGAGGGAAACATTTTCCAGGCTGCAGTGTGGGGAGGGAAGATACTGACAGAGCCTAGTGGTCTTCCTAAGTCTGGAAAGACTAGAGTTTGCAGGGCAGAATATCAGAGGGGAGAGACCTATTCAGAGAGCAGGCTTGTAAAGGTATCCCTGAGTCTTCAAGTGTTTGCTTACTGATCAGCACATGCATGTGAGGAAATGTCTTGAGTCTGGGGAAGGCACCCCTGAAAGGAGCAGAGGGGATAATTCCTGGAATTTACAAAGGTCTTAGATGTTCCAACCAAAGTGGAAAAATCTCACAATTCACAGGGCATCCTGTAATCAGAATGGTAAACTCACATATCCAAACTCAGTGAGCCCCAAGCACCAGAAAAAGAAAACTCCATCATGGTACATCATAATCAAATTGTTTAAAACCAGTAATGAAGAGAAAATCTTAAAAGTGGGTAGAGAAAAAAGACACATTATGTACAGAGGAACACAGCTTAAAAATGACAAAAACTTTTCATTAGAAACAATGAAAACCAGAAGAAGATGGAGCAACATCTTTAAAAGTACTGAAAGATGGGGAAAAAAAAAAAAGAAAAAAAAAAGTCTATCAACCTAGAACTTTTACCATGAAAATAACTTTCAAAAATGAAAGTGAAATAAAGACATTTTCAGACATATAAAACCAGAAGAATTCTATAAGCACCAGACTTAAACTATAGAAATGTTAAAGGAAGTCCTTCAGACTGAAGAAAAATAATACCACACAGAAATCTGCATTGACACAAAGAAATGAAGAACACCAGACAAATGGTAAATGTGTCAGTAATGAACTCCTCTTTCGAAAGGCAAGTCTTTTTTTTTTTTTATTTGTTTGAGAGCGAGCGAGCGAGAGTACAAACAGGGGGAGGGGCAGAAGGAGAGGGAGAGAATCCTCAGGCTGACTCTCTGCTGAGCAGGGAGCTCGACGCAGGGCTTGATCCCAGGACCCCAAGATCATGACCTGAGCCAAAATCAAGAGCTGGCCACTCAACTGACTGAGCCATGCTGGGGCCCCCAAAAGGCAAGTCTTTTATTTACTCACAGCTCACTGTGAATTAATTAGATAATCAGGTCAACAATAAACTTAGATCTTTAGGTTCAGGAAATAAAAATATTAATGGAGCAAAGAAAGGTATGTGTATGTACAAGTAATTGTGAGAGGAAAGAAGTATAATGGCAGTGGACTTAAGTGGACAGTTAAGGTCAACAAGAGGAGCAGAATGATGACAATTTCAAGAGTTTTAAAATTTTGCTGGCGATTTTAAAAGAAAAAGTTGCAAAAATGTGACAGAATACAAAAAATGGCCACAAATTGTTCTCATCTCTATATTTATATGCCTTTAAAATGCTGTTCCTCCTTGAAGATATGGAGTCTATCTAACCAATCTCCAAATCTGGGCTTGACTATGTGCCTTCCTTGGCCAATGAAACTTAAGTAAACATGAAGTGAGCAGAGGTTTAAAAAGTGCCTGTGAGGTAAAGCATGCTCTTTCTTGCTACTTTTGAAATCAGCATTTGAAGAGGCCTGGGCTAACCAGCTGGATGATGAGAGTGTGAGAGAGAGACACACACATGACCTAGTTGTCCTATTACCTCAGCCAACTGCCAGATGTCCTGCCAAGTGACTGCAAATACAGGATTGAGTCCAGCCCAGACAAAAAGAACTGCTAAACAGAATCATAAGTTAAATAAAATGGGGTCTATTTTAAGCCAGCAAGTTTGGGGTTGTTTTGTCATGCAGCAAAAGCTAACTAACACAAAAGGTAAAGTTTATATATTTTATCATTTTTTTACAGGCCTTCAGTTAGTTGCCAAAGGAAGCTTTTTCTCATGCAGTCTCTTTATAAGCTTCTATTTCTACACCAGTACAGTCCATTTCTTTCCTGTTTATTCCAGTTAAATTCTATTCCTACCATTCTAAGGAAACAGAAAGCATGACAGCATAGTATTCATAAAAAAAATCTACAAAAACTCTAGAAATGTGCTATCCAATATGGAAGCCATTAACCAATAGCCACTTTGCCACTGAACACTTGTAGTATGGACAGAGCCACAAGTTGAAATAATAATGCTTTTGTGGGTGCCTGGGTGGCTCAGTCAGTTAAGCGCTGGTCTCTCGATTTTGGCTCAGGTCACGATCTCAGGGTCATGAGATTCAGCCCCACATCAGGCTCCGAGCTCAGCGGGGGAGTGTGCTTGAGATTCTCTCTCTCCCTCTGCCCTTCCCCCTGCTCATGCATGCATGCCCATGCTCTCTCTCTCTCTTTAAAATAAATAAATCTTAAAAAATAAGTTATGCTTTTGAATATCTGGGATAAAGTATATTATTGAAATAAATTTCATTTGTTTCTTTTTAACCTTTCTTAATGTGGTTACTAGAAAATTTAAAATTTATGTGAGATATATCATGTTTGTATATAGTGCAATGCTGTAGAACATATCTCATGATAATGCTTGGTTTACTAAACAAAAGACCCAAAGAGAATAAAACATTGAACTGAAATCAGAGTTTAGGTTCTCCTGTTCAGTGATTTGTCCTTGGGCAAGCCACCACCCTCCCTTTCCCTATTTCTATAAAGAAAGAGCAATGATTAAGGTGTTTTTCTAGCTTGAAAATGAGAAGTCAGTGTGCTTAACCACTGAGGTACTATGATTTTCAGCACTCACTAATGGTACTTACAATACTTATAATTTCCATTTCATAATTTAATATTTCATTACATAAGGCCTCACACCATTTGCTTTATAAGAGTCAAACAATGTAATTGATACCTAACCTAAAATAGTAGTATAAAAGGAAAGGCAGCTTTTAGACAACAGATTTGCTTATTTTCCTCATGTCAAGTCTTCTAAGGAAAACATTTCATTATAAATCTAAAAGATCATAGTTACAGGCACAGTACACCATACTTCACTATGCACAGCAAGGAAAGAGACAAACAGAAATGCTTAAAAAATAACTTACTTGATCACTGAGAAGAGAGTCCTAAAAAGCTGAATAAAAATTTCATTGCAATCTTCCAATTCGAAGCAGATGTTATATGATTTAACCCAAGCTAAGTTCTTAAATAAATAAATAAAATGATTATTTACATTTGCACAGAATAGTTACACAAAAGCAAATTCATTATTATAATTTAATTTTTAGAATTATGAATCTATATTAAGGCTTATAAAGGTCCAACTATATAAAATTAAAGTTGTTAAAGTTGTCATATACTGTGACCTTTAAAAAGACATATATCTGTTGGCATTAACCTACTCTAATGAAAAATACTAAAATTGTTAGAGATTAATAGACTTATATACATACTAAATATAAGGAACAGTGAAAATTAATTCAACTTAATCCCTCTTCAGATTAGAAAAGAATAAAAACAGAAAGATGAAAATAGTTTCATATAATAGGTTTTCCAGTGGAATGTAGTCTTAAAAAAGACATTTTATTAAGTGGGATTTGTAGGAAACGAAAAAATTCATTTTACATTATAAAGTTACTGTAAGGAATTTTCTATTACACAGTGTGATATTTATTAAATTTTTTTTACCTCTAATAAATAAAAGTATCTATTAAACTGTGGACTCTTTGTATCCTCCAAACCTTTTAATTGTCTGGTAATAAACAAAAATATGTCCTGTTAAAAAAAATGATAAAATTAATTTAGATACAAATACTTATCATTCTTTTAAATACATTAATAATAGTCTGTATACATATTCTCCACTACATACGATAAAAGAAAATTCTCCTTAGCCAAATGACTTGGGACTGGCTTAGTCTGTTATTCCAAATAATGAGAACAGAGCAAATTATATAAAATTGTATCTTTTAGAAATGATAATAAAAATTATTATTGGCATAAATCTTTAGGCTTTCTCATTCTCGGAGAACTGTAAGTTCTATATCTTGTTGCCTTTTCTTCTACTACAGAACTTCCACTTTACTATCTTCATCTTGCATCATGGCAAAGAATTATCTTCATTTTAAGGACCTGGACAGGAGTCTTTCCATTACTATTTCCTACATGAAAATAGTAATTTTCAGTATCTAGTTTGAATTTGATGTGTGACTACAAACTTGTGTGGAACAAAAACAATAATAGACTGGCTCAAGGGTTGTACTTTTCATGACAATAGTGTGCCATTTCTTAATAAGCTTTTTTTAGAAGTTTTAACCCAAAATAGAATCAATAAGCAAAAAAATGACTTTAGGACAACTGAAAAGAAAGCAGTTCAAAATATTAAAATTTGCCAGGAATAAAATTATTCAGAATATGAAGTCAGCTCAAGAGATCAACTCAAAAGAGTTCCTCATACATTTTAAACAAAGGCAGAAACTTCCAAGATAAGCATAATATAATTTTGCATGTAATGTGCAGGGGGAAATAATCCTTTGAATATGTAAATTCTGTCACACTATTGTTTTATAAAGTGTCACTAATCCACTGTTTATCCCTTCAATTCAGCCACCAAGGCTTAGTGATGGGTTATCATGAAAGTTACATATGAGCAGACAGGGACTAGTTTGATCTACACCTTTCAATGCCTCAATAAAAATACCAGTCATTTTTGTGGATATGCAATGAATTTTAACTGAATGAATAATTCATCTGTTTTACAACTTATAATCTTCTTATGATGACAGGTGTAATAATAAAAGCTACGTTCCTAAAGGTAAGCTAAACTATAAACTACAAAAGTAAACTAAATTCTGTAAAGATTATATTTACCTTAAGTTTATCATGGGAAGTATATGGAGCTTCTGGGGCATAGATTCGAAAAATGTCGGCCAAACAACATGCTACAAGGAGACGCACATCTTTATTGGGATTCCTGAGGAAAAATTCAGATGCAAGATGCAAGGCTAGTGGGAGATACTGCTGTTTTTCGTCTTCTGAGTCCTGATCCATATCCATAAAAGTTTTTACTACCATCTGTAAAAATACATAAAAAGAAAAAAATACTCAACTCCTGATATTTAGAAATTAATAGAAGACATATATTTTTAAAAACTCATGTCCATTACAACACAAACTAGTAATTAGATACTATCAGAGGATTCACAATCAATTTGTGTAAATCTACATTTAAGACTCTAATCATTTTAGGTAAAATTTAGCCCAGGTAAGAAAGTTCTTAGCCTCATACATATGACCAAATTCATTTGATATTTTGCAACATCATCAATTATGTTTCTTTTATATTTTATTATCAAAATTGCCTTGATTTAGGCTCTTTCAAACTGCTCTCATTTCACACTTTAGTAGGTTTTGCATTTCACAAAAGAAAACCATGCTTAAGCATTTTTATGTAGTTGTACTTTGGATTAAAAGCTATTTTTATAAAATTACCTCTGTTGTTATTTATAATTACAAAATTAACAAATGTACATTTTAGAATCACTCTAAAACAAAAAAGTCCATGCTCATGAATTTGAAGAATATTGTTAAAATGTCCGTATTACCCAAAGCAATCTACAGATTCAATGCAATCCCCATCAAAATACCAATAGTATTTTTTCACAGAACTACAACAAAGAATCCTAAAATTTGTATGGAACCACAAAAGACCCCGTATTGTCAAAGCAATTTTAAGAACAAAGCTGGAGATACCACAATTCCAGATTTCAAGGTATACTACAAAGCTGCAATAATCAAAACTACACAGGTTACTAGGGGATGGGCAAAGTAAGTGAAGGTGAATTTTAAGTACAGGCTTCCACTTATGGAATGAATAAGTCATGGGGATGAAAGGAATATAGTCAGTGGTATCCTAATGGTATTTTATGGTGAGAGATGGTAGCTACACTTGTGGTGAGCACAGCATAATGTACACAGCTGTGGAATCACTATGCATACTATACACATGAAACTAATGTAACACTGTGTGTCAACTATACTTCAATAAAATGAAAAAAAGAATAAAAAACAAAAAACAAAAAAACAACAACAGTATGGTACTAGCACAAAACAGATAGCCCAGAAATAAACCCCTGCTTATATGGCTTATATGGTCAATTAATGTACCACAAAGGAGGCAAGAATATATAATGGAGAAATGACAGTCTCTTCAATAAATGGTGCTGGGGAAACTGGACAGCTACATGCAAAAGAATAAAACTGGACCACTTTCTTACACCAAACACAAAAATAAAATGGATTAAAGACCTAAATGTAATACCTGAAACCATGAAGTTCCTAAAGGAAAACACATGCAGTAATCTTTTGGACATCGACCTTAAGTAATATTTTTCTGGATCTGTCTCCACAGGCAAGGGAAACAAAAGCAAAAATAAACTCCTGGGACTACATCAAACTAAAAAGCTTTTGCACAGAAAAAAAACCCATCAATAAAGCAAAAAAGCAACCTACTGAACAGAAGATATTTGCAAATGATATATCTGATAAAGGGATAATATCCGAAATATATAAAGAACCCATGCAACTCAACACCAAAAAACCCAAATAATCCAATTTAAAAAAATGGGCAGAGGACCTGAATAGACATTTTTCCAAAGATATACAGATGGCCAAGAGACACATGAAAAGATGCTAAACTAATCACTAATCATCAGGAAAATGCAAATGCAAACAACAATGCAGTATCACCTCATGCCAGTCAGAATGGCTAGTATCAAAAATACAAGAATTAAGAAGTATTGGAAAGGGGGCACCTGGGGCTGGCTCAGTCGTTAAGCGTCTGCCTTCGGCTCAGGTCATGATCCCAGGTTCCTGGGATCGAGCCCCGCATCGGGCTCTCTGCTCGGCCGGGAGCCTGCTTCTCCCTCTCCCACTCCCCCTGCTTGTGTTCCCTCTCTAGCTGTCTCTCTCTCTCTCTGTCAAATAAATAAAATAAAATCTTTAAAAAAAAAAAAAAAAAAAGAAGTATTGGAAAGGATGTGGAGAAAAGGAGACCCTCATGCACTGTTGGTGGGGAATATAAATGGGTGCAGCCATTGTGGAAAATAGTACTGAGGTTTCTCAAGAAATTAAAAATAGAAATACTATATGCTCTAGTAATTCCACTTTTGGATATGTACCTGAAGAAAATAAAAAAAATAAAATAAAAAACATACATGCACCCCTATGTTTATTGCAGCATTATTTACAATAGCCAAGATACGGAAGCCACCTAAATGTCCACCAATAGAGAAGAGGATAAAGGTCACACACACACACACACACACACACACACTCATACTCACACACTAGAATATTAACCATAAAAAAGAATGAAATCTTGTCATTCATGGTAACATGGATGAACCTACAGGGTATTATGTTAGATGAAATAAATCATACAGAAAATGACTTTATCATATGTATCGAATTTTATCATTTTTCTGTGCATGCTGAGGTGATCATATTTTCCTCCTAATTGAGTAAATCTCACTGACTGGTCTTCTAATTTTAATACAAGTTTCCATTCCTAAAATCTAATTCTAGTCCAAGTTTCCATTTTAAAATAACACCAACTAGGTCATAACACTTGTACATTGCTAGGTTTGAGATGCTAGTACTTCAATTTTTGCATTTATATTCATGAAAGAAATTGACCTAAAACAGAGATTTCTTTAAGATAACTTTGTCCATTTTATTTTTTTAGATTTTTTAAAGCTTTTTTATTTACTCTTTTTTAGAGAGAGTGGGTATGAGAAGGGGAAGGGCTAAGGGAGAGGGAGAGAATTTCAAGCAGACTCTGTACTGAGAGTGGAGCCCACTATGGGGCTCAATCCCATGACCGCAAGATCATGACCTGAGCTGAAACCAAGAGTTGGATGCTTAACCACCTGAACCATCCAAGCACCCCCAACCTTGTCCATTTTAGAAATGAGGTTATACTGGCTTAAAACAAATTGGTAAGTGATCCCTTTTTTCCTATTACATGGAAAGTTTATAGTAATGCTGGTTTTATCTTTCTTCCTTAGATATTTAGTGAAATTCAACTGATCAAAGAACCATAATGGAATTTAGAAAATATTCTGAACTGAATGACAATGAAAACTATCAATACTTGCGGGATGCAGTTAAAGTTGTACTTGTAGGAAATTTACAGCCTTAAACGTATAAGCTACAAAAGAAGGAAGAACGAAAAATCAGTGATCTACATTTCCATCTCAGTTAGAAAAATAGCAAATTAAATAGAAAGGAGGTAGAATCAAAGGGGGGAAAATTAAAACAGACATCAATGAATTGAAAAACAAACACACAAAAGAGAAAAACCAAGCAATGCCAAATGTTGACTGCTGAAATGACTAATAGAATTGACTCTATATAGAATTGTCTCTATAAGAATAAATCAAGGAGAGAGAGAGAAGGCATAAATTACCAGTATCAGAAATTAAAAAGAGGACATATATTATTCACCCGATAAACACTTAACTACAATACTGGATAATACTACTACTACTACACTGGAGGGGGCTGTCACACAAAATACACTATCTGAATAATTCTATCTCTATGAAAAGAAACTGATTCTGAAATTAAAAACCCTCCCACAAAAAAAATCTCCAATGTTAAATGGCTTCACTGGTGAAAAGTCCCAAATCAAGACAACTATGTATAGATAGATATAGTACTAGCACTCTAATCAAAATACCAACCCTCTCCTGCCATTCTGTTACAGCTTTGTATCTTGGTTTGATTATGCAGTTACTAGTCAGTGACAGCCTACTTACAGTTTAAGTACAAACATCCCTTTGAGATGTTAAGCCTTATTTCTTGGATTATCTGTTGACATTTTAGTACAGATTGTTATCTAGTTGGAATTAGTAACAGAAGATAAACACCTGAAGTTTAGGAATTCTTAGAGAAATAAAGAGCACCAAATGGGAGTTGTGAAGGGATTAAAGATAATCCTAACATTAACTTCAAGTAGGCCTAGCCAGGCCACCTGAAACCATCTGATTAGGATCCCTCCTACATAATTCATCTAACCTCAACCAACAAAATAATCAAAATTTGTATTTATGGATGAGTAAACTAAGGAACAGTTTAAATCCTCATGCAAGTTGACAAAAGCCAAAGGAGAGAACATGCAAACCAGAGATATTTGGCCTTTATCTTGAAGGCAAGAACCACTGACGTGTTTTGAACAACAGCATAATATGGTTAGATCTGCATTTCATGAAAATACCTTTTTATTTATGAGGTAGCCACTAAATGAATGTCTCACTCACAAGGTTGATGAATCCATCAAAGCTAACTCAGCCAAACTTTGAAGTCATCAGAGACATCTTACAAAGTATTCTGAAGCAATCTCAGCAAGTTGAGTGGGAGGCAAGAGATAAAGTAAAAAGGGCAAACTGTATTCCTAAATGCCATAAGAATTATTATATAGGAAATGCGAGTCATCAAAAAATATCTGTCAGTAGAAAAGCATATGTATTTGTCATCTATTGCTATGTGACAAAATACCCCCAAACTCTGTACCTTAAAACAATAAACATTTGTCAGACAGTTTCTATGGAGGCAGAATTGGAGTGTGACTCAGCCTGATGGTTTTGCTTGGACTCTCTAATGAAACCGTCATCAGTTAAAGCTATAATCATCTGAAGGTCTGATGGGCCTACCAGATGTGCTATGAAGGTCGCTCATTCACATGGCTGGTACGCTGGCACTGGCTTTTGGCAAAAGGCATCAGTTCCTCTCTACAGGTGCTCTCTGGACAGCTGCTTGAGTGTCCTAATGGTGGCTGGCTTTCTCCCAGTGAGTATCCAAGAGCGCCAAGTCATAAATGGCAATCTTTTATGACCTAACCTTCAAAAACATACACTGTCATTTCCACAACAGCCTATTAGTTACTCAGGACAGCACTGTTCAGTTGGAATATAAGGAAATGGGGATCATTCAGGGCCATCTTGGAGGCTAACTACCATATTATGGCTCATAATATTTACATCTTGTTTAGTCCTTTCATAAAGACGCTGGGT